CCATTGATTTCCTGGAAATATCTTCATGTTGATAATATCATGCAAGTCATATATCACTTACTCACTCACTGCATAGCATTATCCTTCAGATCAAAGTTTACATTGAGACACACAAAGCCACAGATAGACAGACAAGAACTAGAACTTATAAGACAGCAGGCTACACATATATTGTCATAGTAGTAATAAGTTAACATGAATGTTCAAAACACCATTATATTGAAAGTCACATATTCCTATGTGACAATAGGGACAACCAGGTAGGAGACAGCAAATAATTATGTAAAGAACCCTATACAATTGGCTCCTCCAAAGGCAATAGCAGACATATGGTGATAGACATTGACAATGTATGCCCATGGAAATGAGAAATGACCTGGATGAGTACATGAGTGGAGATAAGCACCTTGAGATATGACAGAAAATATTGAATTATGAACATGAATAGTGCATCATAGTGTCAGGACAACCCTAGCACATTGAAAGAAACTGGAAGAGAAAGATCATGTTGCAATGACAGATGAAGATCAGACAGAATCAAAGGACTGGGTACATAGGCATATTGAGGCATGAGGTCAATCAAGATGCAAGACAGCAGATGCACATATTGTCGATCCTAAGAGGTGCAAGGACCACTAGCAAAATGCATAAATTGATAGGAAGAAGAACACTCGACATTGCAACAGCATATGTGGCCACTGTCATTGACAGTATGGGCCTAAGAGGTGTATGGACCACTAGTAAGATGCAAAGAGTAAAGAGAAAGGGAATACTCAGTGAACACTCATGGAGATGAGAAACAACAGAATATTGGAGTTCAAGAGAAGGAAAAATTAAATTTTTGAGATGGCTTGTTTTTGAACTTCGCATCATGTGACATTCTCATGCCACACATCTAATGAAATTTCATAAAGTTCAGAGAGTATTATAGTTTAAATAATGAGAACGTTAAACATCTGATAGAGGTGTTCATAGCAGGAAATTTCCATCAAAGTTTGTTTTCGTGAGTTATTGAGTAGAGAAGGTCAAATACATGTATTCTGCTATGAGGGTTCTTCATATCTCTCCTGCAACTGCAAGGTGCTAATGATCATTGGCTACATGCACAGAAAAATCACTAGAAATATGACCATAGGTCATTTTTCATTGTAATAATGATAGAACTATATTTACATTAGTATGATTGAGTCCTCATCAGCAGGTCCAGGATGGGCTTCCCCATACAATCATGTTGAACTTGACCCTCAAGGTTGTTCAATCAAATAAACCACAGATAACCTGTTTCAGTACAGCAGCCCTTTTGCATTGCATATAAAGACCAAACTATATGCTGTATCATCTCTCATATTCTCACATTTCCAGATATTCATACAAAAAATCAAACCCAAATGTTGAAATATCATGTGCAAATAAAGATTGAAAATAGGCTATTTGGTTAGAGGACGAAATAAATTATTAACCCCCAGAACAGTTGTAAAGGTAATAGAAGGATCTGAGTGTCGTTTGTTGTGCACATCAAATGATTTATGACATAGTAATAATTTTACAAATATGTATATAACAAATTCATGTAATATCCTGCACCTCCCCCATTACTACCACTGTATTCTTTGATACTAGACTTCAAATATCCAACATACCTTTGAATAACTCCAACATCACAATCTGATTGATTGTCTTGCCCAGTTGGAACTGATCACCAATGTATAAAAAATTCTCTGCATGCTTTTGCTTCATTATTCTAATGTACTGCATAACAATGTGGGAGACATTTGTGCATGGCTCTGCAGTCTCATAATCCTCCACAGACATTGCACTACTTCCTGTTGCATGATATTGTTGAAGCTTGGTTACCATAACACAAAGACTGAGTACTGATCTATTATACAGTACTTTAGAGAGAGTTAGTGAGATGGTTAGTTGCAGGAGAAGCTTGTAATGCACATCTCCTAGATAACAGAAATGGAATGGCGATGACTATACAGCACAATGTCTCTAATGCATGATCTATTCTCTGATTCATTGTGGTACATCCAACTTCTGTATCAATATATCTCAAAAGCTCTGTGAGGTGCATGCAGAAGTAATTGTAAAAATGACCTCCTGTGGAAAAGAAGGTGAATGGCATATATACCACATTTACTATACCTGGTGGAAGGATCCTGATAATATATTACTTTCAGTGAGCCTCTACAAATGATATTTGAAATGTACAGTATGTCCCCTGGTCTCAAGGTGAGAACACATCCATTGCAGTTGCTTTTGATTCATTTCTGATGAATTGTATAATTGGTAAGCTTGACAAAAGGTCTTGAAGATATATGTAATTGCTACTGCCACTCTTCAACCAGGAAATGACCCAAAGCTTTATCCTGGCCTCTATCCTTACCCAGGTCAAGGTTTCTTCAGCATTATGGTGAGGATACAATATGAAGCCTGCATGCTGCAGTAGTTCCCATCCCTTCATAGTGAAGTTTTCTGGGTGAACCTTACTTTCTATGGGCACAGTGGTTAACATTAAATTCCAACCATGGACAAGGCCATGATCAAGAAGCCTTATAATATAAATCAATCAATTATATTATAGAGGATATCACACTAAACTTACCTGAATTCATCTGGCATGCTGATGTGGAACAGCGGTATGTCCAACACAGGATCATTTATTGATTGCATGACTCTGCCGATAGTTGAACTAACAAATGAGTTGATGTAGTCATTGTATTAACTCCTAACATCTGTGAAATGCATGAATGATGAATATGCCAATTCTGTGCCTCAATGTGTACCATATACAGAGACTGGACAATATGGAGAGATCACAAATGTAACATCCAGGTATCTAACACTCAATTCTTTTTAGGTGTGTTGTGGAATACTCCACTGATCTTAATACATATGTTGAGGGATAGAGCTTCTTCAATAATTTCTGAAATATCCCTGACAGTTGGCACACCATATTCAAGGTTGGCAATCATGACATGCATTGAATGACAGGTATATCGACTTTGACACAGATATTTATATTTTCCTTATTTTCATCATAGATTGCCAGTAGTGCATTCCAAGGACACCAACAGTAAGATCTAGAGAATGAGTAGATGTCATGCTGGTGGTTTGAGATTAAAGAAATGTTTGACAATGACAGGTCTGATTGAACATAAGAGGTCCACATATGATTCAGAGCAGGATTTACTAGGTTCAATATATTTGTCATACTATTTATTGCACATTCTAAGATTGGAATGTGGGATTTAATTTTATGAATTCCATCTTCATGGAGATATTCATAATTAATCCAATAAGACTGATTATTGTGTCATCTGTCAGGACTAAGTGTCTCCATAATGTAACTTATGATGTCTACTGTCCTACTTATTACACCAATTTTTCATAGACATCCTACTCGCACATATATAATTTTGACTGAAATTTGTTAATTACTATCAGACTGCATGACGAATCAAATCATAATTGTATCTTACTCATACATATACTACATACTTACTACATCAGTGCCAACACAGCCTCTGTGGTAATCAAACTCCACTAAGTGCACTTCAGTAGTCTGGAAATATCATGTGAGGTGGAGTTGAAATATTTTTTATCCACAAAATCACTCTTTCTTCTTGACCACAACATCCTTTACCTTTTTCCTTGCTCTATGCATCTTGCTAGTGGTCCTCATGCCTCTTAGGTGCATATTTATTTTTAATCCAATTTTTGTCAATTTGGGGAGATGTATGTACTTGCCTATGTCATGTATCCGCAGGTAACCTGCACACCCACAGGTTTTACCTGCAGGTAGACCCGTACCCATACCACTTGACCTGGGACGGGTATGGTCATGAACATATAGCTCAACTAACTTGTGGGTAGCACTTAGGTATGACCCAGGTTGACCCATGTCAGGCCCTAGTTTGAAATCCCTCCCTTGCATTCTTGCTTTGAATTTGCCACTCAAAAAGTGGTTGTTTTGATCTAGAGATACGCTGACTTGGAAATATATTTTTCTGCCTCCTACTGTGCAGTAGCGCATCCAACATTTTGACTTCCACCTGAAGGTTTCACAAAATGTGGCAGCAGAATTCCTCAACACAGCCGTTGCGGGACACCGCGCTGGGACAAGTGAGTGTTGCATTCTTTGAAGACTATTCTTGATCAACCACACAGTGTCGGCGATCTAGAACTAAGATAGCAGACTTGTGAATTCAATAAACATCACATGCATGTGACAAAGTATGACACTGTGCAGATAAGTGTCTCAAAAGTATGCCGAACAGTGCTGAACCCATGCTGAAGCATGCTAAGGATTAAAGTAAGTAGAAGTTGAAGAGTTTGGTACAATGAAGTCTATAAGGTAGATTAAGAGCAATGATAGTACTAAATGAAGCAGAATATTAGCAGAGAATGTGTATTGGGTGAATCAATGTGTTGTTGGGGGTGTATAATGTCAATCAAACTCCTTTAAAATGGATTGTGGAAGAACACGATGACCGCAATATTTTTTTATTGCCCAAGCGGCTTGCATGTCATTCAAGCCTTTTTGATATACATCAATGAATTTTGCAGACCTCATAGTGAAACTGAAGTTTGGTTAGTTAATCTCAAATGAAACAAGGCAGTGAGCCTGTTCTGTTTCCCATGTTAGCAACGGCTTCACAGCAGACTGCATCGGAGTTTTATACATGGTACTGTGCCACTTTCAATAACTTAAGAAATTGGAATAAGAAACTTTCCACTCCACTTCTGTTTATTTCAAATAACGGAAAATGTTTGCAATATTACTACCAAGATAAGTGAGTATGCGATTGATGCAGAATGCACCTGATTAATAGTTATTCCAATTTTTGTCTTTTGTCACTTTTTCATCATGTTTCTCACATGATGTTCGTTGAATTCACAAGTCCACTATCTTACTTAAGAATGGAAGGGGATAGTTATCCCGTGGCAGAAGTTCCCATCGAGAGAACAGATTTCTTTCTGAGGTAGATATGAATTCATTCATTGGACCATACCCAAAGTCCATTGGCTACTTGTGTAGCATCTGCTGAAGGGTCCTGAGGGTTGATTCTGTAGGAGAATTCAGCTAATTAATCAGAGATCGGACACTACTCACGTCAATCATTGGAAGCTTTGTATGTATCCACGTGAACAAGAAACTTGCACTGGAGAATATTCAGAAGGGATTGCTCAGCAACCAGGTACTGGCTGCTCCACAACATTTCTTGGTGTGAAGAATAAGAGTGGACAGCTTTCTACCCTGAAGTTATTCCAGCAAAAGTGTGAGATGGTGCATACCAGGGCCGACTTTGTCAAGTTGCTACTTGATTAGATGGAAGCATCATTCCACTGAAAGAACTCACAATTCCTCTTTGTGACTGTGTGCACTTAGCACAACACTGAAGATATGGCGGAAATTGGACAGAGACCCCTGAAGTCGACATCCCAGTACCTTGGATAGTTGTTCAGAACTACCAATCCCCATCAGGAAAACATCGAGTTTTTTTCAGTCCTTAGCATACTTAAAGTTACTTAAAAATAGTCTTAAGGCAGGTAAGGAGAATAAGGAACTAGTGAGTTCCTTAGCAAAATGTATTCTAAGGAGCAAAGTCATTACAAGGCGGTTAAGACATCAAAATCTACAAAATCTAAGAAAAAAACATCATTGTAAGTTTTAATTGATAATCATTCTGTCAATTGTTGCTTACCAGGTGCTAGTGAACCATATGGCTCCAAAATCTCACATGCAAGTGCAACAGAAGACGTACAAGTGGGGAGATGTGACTGTCTGGGCGGAGGCTGCAATCAGAGCTGAGGCATTGGCAGAAGAAGCGGAGGCGAGAGCAGACAAAAGGATGGCAAGAGCAGACAAAAGGATGGTGAGAGCAGACAAAACAAAGGCGAGAGTGGGAGCAGGATTACTGGGCTTCTTGAAGAGGGCAAAGAGCCAGTTTTGCAGGAATCGAAATGGAGCGCGTGGCTCGAGCCTCAAGTGACTGTAGACCATGGTGAGTACAAGTATATCTCGAATTTGATGAGAACTTACCAATAATTTTTGCAGGAATTGAAACAGAGCACGCAGCTCAAGCGTAGAGTGACTGTTGACCCCTGTGAGTACAAGGATATATCAAATTTGATGAGAACTTACCGAACTTTCCAATAGTCTCATCTTGTTGACTCGAAATTAGTACTGTCAGTTTGGTACAAGTGTATAATACAAACCTTGGGATCTGTCCATGCCAAAGAGTGCCTTGAAGAATGACTCTACAAAGATGGAGTCCTACAAGATCTCCACAGCTGCTGTCACGGTATGCAAGCAGACTCTTCAGCAACGTCAGGCTTGAGGTAAACAGTGAGGGAAGGTGTTTTCATCAGGAAACCTACAATTCTGCTGAATATCCTGATTTCTCTGTATTACTGATATCAGACAACTGTCTGATATCAGTAACAATCAGTACCAATCAGCACACATCAGTTGTGCAGATATATCAGATTATTAGACCAACAAAATTACAGAGTGTCCAGGGATGTCAGACTTCAAAAAAACATTATGCAGTCATTCAGAACATCAGCTTTCTGATATCAGTAACAATCAGTAACAATCAGCACATATCAGTTGTGCAGATACATCAGATTATCAGACCAAAAAAATTACAGAACATCCAGGGATGTCAGACTTTCAAAAAAAAAAAGTTAGTCAGTCATTCAGCAATATCAGCTTGACTAGCCTCTATATTATCAGAAGGTACAGATGTACAATTCTGCAGTGTATACAATTCTCTATCACTTAGTACTCAGTAGATCTCAGTGACTTACCACTGCCAGAAATTTGAGGTTGTCCAAATTGAGAATCAATGAATGACAGTTTGCAAACCAAATGACACCATATATAGTATGTCAAGTGCAAGTGCAGATGTCTGCACTAGTGCCCTATTGCCTAATTAGGAAATGCCCACTCACCACACACTACAATCAGCTCAACATTTAACATGTTTGTTCATTATCTGATGGTGTACAATATTGATTCTTGAATAGTTATTTAGATAGATATATATTAAAATAAGCTCTATTGTATTGTATTATATACAGACAATTATATACTACATTATTACACTAATGTTGATGTACCATAGTGTTGCAGGGACTTAGTGAAATTTCGTATTTTTGATGATATAAGCAGTCATGTGATGTTGGTTGAAGTTAGGTGGGAAAGCTTATGTAATCAAAAATGTGTTCAATGGTTCAAGTCTTTTGACATCATGATTGTTCAAGTCTTCTTGCCTTCTTCTCTTTCTTTCTTCTTTCAATCCTTTTCTTTCCCCACCCTTACTCTTAGGTTAGGCTCCTGGATATTCAAGTTGGGATATGTTGGTGTTGATGTGAGTGTTGGTGTGGATGGGACTTTGGAATTGGTGCAGTGGTGAGTCACTTATCCCCTCTCCTATTCTCTCCTCTAAAGACTGACCCTGTTCACTTCTAGCCTATATATTTTCGCATTTTTGGTCTTTTTGGTGAGTCTCTCCTCTCCTCTCCTTCAAAGACTGACTCCCTGCTCATTTCTAGCCTATCTATTTTTGCATTTTTTAGTCTTTTCAGTAAGTCTCTTCTTTCTCTAACCTCTTTTTGGCCTCTATTTTTGCATTTTTGTCTATTTTAGTGTCTCTCTTAGTCAGTAGTATAGATGCCAATGTAGTAGTTACTTTGAATATGATTTTTGTATTTTTGATATTTTGACCATTGCAATGTCCTGATGTGATGTGATGTGCTGTGGGCTGTTATACAAACTAAACTACATATCTGATGTATCACATCTCTTAGAAACTGGCACCCTGAATTGTACACAAACAGTACCTCTGGGTATCTGTGGAGCTGTTCACCACTGATTTCAGGCATGGTACTGATTTCAGCAATTGCTGCATGACTGCATTACCTGTATGTCTGATATCAGACAGATCAGTAGGCAACAGCAACATCAGCAGAATTGTAGGTTTCCTGATGTTGATTTTGGTAGCAATGTTGATGATCTCCTTCAGACGCGGGACACCAAGTGTCACATTCTTACTGGAGACACCGGCATAATGGAATGTATTGAGCATTATCTGCATAGCTGGTTCACCAATTGATTGAGTGGCAAGTGTGCCACACATTTCTCCCAGGTTCACCAGCGACTGGTTGAACTTGGCCTCCACTTTGCCAAGTTAAATGCCTCTCTGGTAAGATGGCACTGTTCAAGTACGTGGCAAGTGGAGATGTTGGCCTGTGGGGGAGGGAGGAGAACAATATACCTAGTAAGATGGTACTGTTCAAGTACATGGTGAGTAGAGATGATGTCTCATGGGGGAGGGAGGAGAACAATATACCAATATTGTCCTGGTCTTGGAGCCTGCCATACTCAATACGCTGAGCCTTGGATCTATAGGGTATTTGGTTAGCAAAAGGATGACAAAAGGATAAGGAAAGACATACCACAAATCATGCTATTTAAAAAGCGTGGTGATCTGCATATCTGTTGACGTAGTACAAGTCAAACATGTCATATGAGTTGTGTGGACTTATTTTTGGGATAAAGTCTAGGCCATAGACTGGAATGAGATGGGCAGCGCGAAAGATACAATTGATGTGAATAATTGCGATGTCTGGGACATCATCACCAGTTGTCATTGGCATGACAACATACATACCTGTGTCAGGATCGCGTTCTTCATGGACATAAGAGTACCAATGAACTATGGTGCAGGGATAGTACAATATCCGATAGTTAAATGAGAAAAAGCAAAGGACTTGCGCAACTGTGAGTCCATTCATGGGAGAGTTGAAGTCAACACCCATGTTGACAAAGATACAGTCATGCCTCAGTTCGCCAACACACCATGATGGTGTTGCCCGGATGTGCTTGCAACGCATACCTCCTGTATCACTCAGATCACTGGGTGCATGGAATAAGGCTGCAGCAGAATTAAAGACGGTGAGGTTCCCTAGGAATACTTGCACTGTTGCTGGATCAAACTCAGGAGGGTTGGGATCTTTTGAATAGTGTTCATCATGTATGAATTCTTGAATCATAAATGGGAGGTGTGGAAGGTCAAGTTTGAGGCTGAGTGCATGAACACTTCATACACAACCTATTCATTGTCAGAAAGGGTCCAGGAGCAAACTGATTAACATATGGGGAGTTAATGCAAGCCCAACATGGGACTCCACAGCTGGTCCATCAATAATCTCACCAGCATCCACTTCAACAGAATGATTTTGAGGCTTGTGGATATGCAGATGCCCAGGATGGCCTTCTTGTGCCATATCAGCCAATGATTCTAAGTCGTCATCTGCAGGAATATTTTGACCTATTGGGGGTATGATAAGGGCTAAATCGTCAGAGAGAAAGATCACGTACGTCTCCAGAGTTCTCCCAAAGCATTGGACAGACAAGAGCCACGAAGCATACCACGTGCCTCAAAATCTACGCGAGCGGCTGCAAGTTTGTCGAGGTGTTGATTTGTTAGTAGCATTTGTCCAAGTGCATCATACCTGCTAGATTAGTGCCAAGGTCCTTTAACTGCCTTGATGTGCTTGGACTCAGTGATTGAAGAGCAATGGCCGTTGGGTGTGCCAAAAAGTCAAATCAGTAATATGTAGTGGCACAGGGAGTGTTGACGTGGAAGGGAGAATGTTGAGACCACACCAGTTGTCTTGAAGATCTCCCGGTATTGGTGAAAGCGGTTGAGGGCATCTTGTAGTTTTATGAGGTCATCTTCAGTGAGAGCCTCACACCTCACAGTGTAGCAAAATTCTAAAAATGCACTGAATGTGAGCACCACATCTTGAGGAACATGACCTTCAATTGCAGCTAGATAGACCTAAATACAAGTCAGCTCACATGTCATTTGGAATGGAATACACAGCATACCTTCATCAATGCCTTTAAGTCGTCACCTGTCCACTGCCAAAAACCTCACCCATCAGGAAAGTGTCGCAACCCAGTGAATGGGGCAACTGCTGCTATCCTGTATGTTATTAGTAGTTATCAGCAAAACATCATAGATTTGCATACCTGCGGTCAATGTCATTCATTATCTCAGCTGCATGATGGGTACTGTGTGTGATCAGTAAATACTCTCCCACCCAATCAACCAGATGATCCTTGAAAGTTCCCTTGATTATTTGATGCAAGATATCTGGAGATAGGAGCTCGTGGATGTCCACTCGAGGAAAGTCATTTGTAAATGGCTAGAAAAGCGAAAAGGTGAGATTGGACCTAGTGAGTTTCAGCGAGCAACTTACAATGAGATCAGCAATGATGCCATACTCATCCCAAGCCTGTTTGTATGTGAGTTGTTTGATGAGCAACTCAGTATGTGCTTCGCGTCGATGGAGACACAGTTGAGAGCCATCAAGGTCCTTCCTATGTCCTAGACACCTATTTTGATAATAAATAAGTCATTAAAAAGCGAAACAAAGTTTGATGACGCACCATGGACACCAGTTCTGCACGACGCCAGAGAGAAGTATCTGTTTTGGATAGTCCACAATGTAACCAAGCCATACACTGTTCATCAATAGTGGCCATCCAGAAAGCATGTGACATTGAAATTTTCCATGAAAGGTTTCATAGACTCGAAAATCTTCGCACGGGAGCACTGGAACAGCTGTCATCGAAAATTTCTGTATTTGATGTTGTCATTATGTTCCTTCATAGCTAGACAAATGAAGGTTATGATACAGTGATGCATTGAAAATAACAAGTACTTACATTTTGGTATCACAAGAAATCCAATGAACACAACACCATTGTGATGTGCCTGTCATACGCTATTGTGAATGTTCCCGATTGAGAGATAGAGTGGGTGGTATTTGGTCTGACCAGTAGCAACAGAAACAACAGTCTTATCACTGCCAATAATCAATGGTACGAATGTCGAACCCTGATTCTCCTCATTTCGAGCAATATCATCCTTGAGATGATTGTTAGTATGCCAAAAATGTAAATATGAAAAAGGTGTACTGCCTGTTTCCACACCCAGTCACCAGACATAAAGTTCTTGAAATATTGTTTGTCCTCAGTAGTATAATCGTGGTAGGGTGAATACTCGATTCCTCCATCAAAAGCACATTTTGCCAAAATGCTGTGCATCATTTGCAATGGATCTCTATACCACACATCATATTGTCCATCCATCCATGGTGGTATGTCTTGTTCGGGTTTGGCTCTGTTGTAGCACAACATAAAGCTCTTCCAAGGGGTATCGCCGAGTGGTGTTGCATCGATTGTAGTGTACATGTTCCTATGGTTTGCAAATGGGGGGGCGTCATTGTGCTTAATGAGAGTTGTGGCCCACAAGTCGAGAAGTGTATCAATCTGCTTTGCAGACATTTGATTGCATGTGAATAAGAATTCCGCCGTCTCGAATTCAGCACAATTGTCATAAGGCATCCAATCGGTTGGGAGGGCATCCGTATGAGGTGGCGGGGGTGCATCCTGGTCAATAAATGCCCCATTAGCATCACATTTGAGTCCTAAGACAAAAATTGAGTAACAGTAAGATGAATTCCTTAAAAAATGCCCACCTGTGAGGTGCAGATGGAAAGTATAGAATAAGCGTCCCATATCCACCCAGTTACCTTCCTCCAGTACAAAATCCTGGTCGCCCGCTGGATCTTGATGGAAATTCTCATCAATAACACCTGCTGGAGTGGGAGAATGACTCTGTGGAAGTATAAATCCAGGACCTACAAGCGGAGCTATGTGATTGAGGTTTTGTAGGGTACCATATTGCGCATGTGTGTGCTGAGTGAGGCCAGACTTGTTTTTGAAGACCCAATTGCAGTTTGGAAACTGACAAACAAGCCTGGTGACAGCTGGGGCCATGTTGGACAGTGGGCAGTCATAGCAAGATGGATACCAGGGAGCAGAATATGTAGAATGGAGACTAGACTAATACTAAGTGTGTGAATCAGAGATTATGACATGCTCAATTGAAAAAAATAACTTCACCCGTTCATTGCCACCTTTTGCTAGGGTCCATATTCTTTCAACACCTCGCTACCAGCATTCCTCCAACAGCTTGTCCTAGATATCAACATGCCTCGACCTGCAACACACCCAGGGAATGTTAACAAGCATCCTGGACAGATAGTTCTTGAAGCGAGTTGTGTAGCACACCCAAAGGATGTAATTGCAGCTGAAAAGAAAAAGGTGTCAGCAGAGAAATTAGCCAAGGCAACCACCTTGGAAAATGCTCAAAAGAAGGTTGCTGCAACGGAAGATGCTATGGCTGTCGAGCAGATGGCTCAATGTGCTGGCCCAGGACACCTTGTCAGACCAAAGCCTAAGCCGCGCCCAGTGACCAAGGCAGCACCTACTGCAAACTCTGACAAGATGTATAAGCCTTACGCAATACAATGCTGTTGCAAGACTCACCAGTCCTTTGACATTTATACAGCTGTTGAGGCAAAAACGGTGTCCCAAAGCACTGACACCCCAAAGAAGAAATATCCAGGCTTGAAATTCACCTTCAAGGATGGTGTCAATGCCAGTCAAAAGGTGTCCAACAATGGTACATCATCTACAACATGTGTTGTACTAAGTGCAGGCAGGGGGAGTGACAGTGGGAAAAATAGAAGGTCGCTGTAAGTTCATCTTAACTGTGATATTACTCTTATCAGAGCTGACTCTTTATTACTTTGATATAATTCACTCACTACAATGTAGGGGATTTGAACAAGCCATATCGTCAGAGGAGGTGGAAGTAGGGAAGTGGGCTAGAAGTGTGGCATTGAAGTCCCAATGGAAGCCATCTGCACCACCAAGTGCACGTGCCAGTGGTAGGTTCAGTTTTATGTCTGCACACATTGCTAACAGTTATTAGTGATTGCAAGCAGGGATGCGGATGTATCTGAAGATGAAAACCTACCTGAAGATTGCAATGAGAGTATAGCTGTGGGTCGGGGTGGTCAGGTGAGTGACTTCACACTGGGTGTGGGATCTATCTTTTCCACTGGAAAAACCGTAAACTTTTTAAAGGAAAAGGTCAAAATTTATCTGGCATTTAATCTGCCTAAAAATGATGAAACAAGATCATGATGTTCTTGTAAATTTCCAATGGAGCAAACTGTAAACAAATAAAAATTTCATGGTTTCAATTTCTTCATGATATATCAGGTGACAATTTTAGAATAATGTTCACCTTTGTGACACAACAAAATACTATACAAATTAGAAGCAACATGGGGTATGATTTGTTTTGAAAAAGTGTATCAGAAAAATTGAATAGAGAAATCAAAGCTTTTTGTATCATGTGTTTCATGGAAAAAAGCAGACAAAATCAGGACCACAGAACCATTTAAATTTTTCCCAATATTGTCAGGAAAGAAAATGAAAACAAGATTGTGACCTTCTGTCACAATGAATATAATGTTTTATCAATGGCAATACTGGGGACAACTTGAGAGCCAAATTTCTACATTTGTCTCATATTTAGACATGAGAAAAACAAAAAAGAAATTGAACAAAACAAATCATGAATGTGGTTTCTGATATGTTCAGAGTTTGTTTGCAATACAAAATAAGAAAAAATTGAAATAAATATTAGGAACAGAGGGTTTGTGAATGATGAATGGTCCACTGACTGGTCAAATTTGCAATGTCCAATATCAATGTTTAATGTTCAATGTTCAATGTCCAAGGGCAATGTCCAAGTCCAATGTCTCATATCTGAGTCCAATGCCCAAGGTCAATGTCTCATATCTGAGTCCAATGCCCAAGGTCAATGTCCAATATCCAATGTCCAATGTCCAAATCCAATGTCCCAGTTCAATGTTCCAGCTCATATTTCAATGTCCAAGTCAAATGTCCAAACCAATGTCCAATGTCCAATGTCCAAATCCAATGTCCTAAGTCAATGTCTAATATCCGAGGTCAATGTCCAATGTCCAAGGCCAATACCCAATGTCCAATATCCAAATCCAATGTCCAAGTCCAGTGTCCAATGTCCCTGTTCAATGTTCCGACTCATATTTCAATGTCCAAGTCAATGTCCGAGCCTAATGTCCAATATCAGGGTCTAATGCCCAATGTCCAAATCCAATGTCCGAGGTCAGTGTCCAATGTTCAATGTCCAATGTCCAAATCCAATGTCCAAGGTCAATGTCCAAGTCCAATGTCCAATATCCGAGTGCAATGCCCAATGTCTAAATCCAATGTCCAAGTCCAATGTCTGGGTTGAATGTCCAATGTCCCAGTTGAATGCCTAATGTCCAATTCTAATGTCCAATTCCAATGTCCAAGGTAATATATAATGTCCAAATTCAAGATTCAATGTCTAGGTTCAATGTCCAATGTCTGAGTCCAATGTTTAATGTCTGAGTTCCATATCCAATGTCCAATGTTCATGGATTTGGACATTTGACTTGGACATTGAAATATGAGTTGGAACATTGAACTGGGACATTGGATTTGGACATTGGACATTGGATATTGGACATTGACCTTGGGCATTGGACTCAGATATGAGACATTGGACTTGGACATTGCCCTTGGACATTGAACATTGAACATTAAACATTGATATTGGACATTGCAAATTTGACCAGTCAGTGGACCATTCATCATTCACAAACCCTCTGTTCCTAATATTTATTTCAATTTTTTCTTATTTTGTATTGCAAACAAACTCTGAACATATCAGAAACCACATTCATGATTTGTTTTGTTCAATTTCTTTTTTGTTTTTCTCATGTCTAAATATGAGACAAATGTAGAAATTTGGCTCTCAAGTTGTCCCCAGTATTGCCATTGATAAAACATTATATTCATTGTGACAGAAGGTCACAATCTTGTTTTCATTTTCTTTCCTGACAATATTGGGAAAAATTTAAATGGTTCTGTGGTCCTGATTTTGTCTGCTTTTTTCCATGAAACACATGATACAAAAAGCTTTGATTTCTCTATTCAATTTTTCTGATACACTTTTTCAAAACAAATCATACCCCATGTTGCTTCTAATTTGTATAGTATTTTGTTGTGTCACAAAGGTGAACATTATTCTAAAATTGTCACCTGATATATCATGAAGAAATTGAAACCATGAAATTTTTATTTGTTTACAGTTTGCTCCATTGGAAATTTACAAGAACATCATGATCTTGTTTCATCATTTTTAGGCAGATTAAATGCCAGATAAATTTTGACCTTTTCCTTTAAAAAGTTTACGGTTTTTCCAGTGGAAAAGATAGATCCCACACCCAGTGTCATGATTGTGAATGGGGAATGCTTAAATCAATGCAGGATGTTGTGCATATTAATGAGACTGTTGATGATGCCATGAGGGAACAAAAGCATACCTTGTCCACGACCTCGTTGGATGACCTCGAACCCAAAGAGCGGTATGAGATGGAAGAAGACCAAGATGCCAATGAACATATTCCGGACAAGGATGAGGATGTTGACATGACAGATCAGCAGGGTGATATGGAGGTAAGTACTGGTGGGTCCTGTGAGATAGATGAATCACTCACCACGATCATGGATCTTATAGGTCTGTGAAGTGTCAAGCAGTCAACTCACGAGCTCTGTATGGAGAATTTGCTCTGGTCGCTTGACAATGCTGACAAATTCCTATGCAGATGTCAGTTAGTGTCATGGATACCACAATGGACGGTCCAAAATCTAAGTACATCAAAACCGAGAATGAATGTGCGCAACGTACTATACTCAATCCGAAGAAAGAAAAGCTGAAGAATTCTCACTTACCCAATGCTGCTCAGAATCTAAGCTTTTGTTCCATATTTATTCCAACGGTCATGCACTGGATCGGCAATAACAATTATCCATGGACCATCTCCGATGAGAAACTCTCAGACATTCCCAAGGATATCTTCATGGTGGTGTGTAAGCAGCCTGGAGACTTCAGGAATGATGATGGCTGCAATCTCACCTTCAACCTCGTGAGTGAATTTCCATTCCAGTACTTCTAGCTGACAACTATGCTGGCAGGTATGCCAAAGGATCTCTGAGTGGAGAGGTAACTTCGGCTCCACTGCTATCACCATTCTCATGGCATTTTTCGCCTCCACGGACAAATACAAGACCAAGGAGGCACACAAAGAATATGCCAAATATCAACTTGAAGATTCACACTTTGTATATGAAGATCCAGATAATGAAGACTCACCTGGAGCTTTCTTATCAGAATTCATCTTGCGCATCTTCGCTGTTCAACTCAATGCCACCCAAGGATGCCAGATAATTGACTCGCTCAACTTTGGCTTACCTGCATATCCAACAGCCCTTGCACTGACCACTGCAGCCGTGAGTTTTGCACCGCCTTTACAAAACTTCCTAATTTTCATTTGCAGGCTGAGTGTGCACTTATTTTAGCTCGCAATGACTTGATTGTGGAAGATGCTTCAGACCACAGGAAACACAAGATTGCCCTAACTCTCAATCACTCCACAAACAAAATGAGTAACACAGGCACTGCTTTTTCTGCGGGTAATTGGGAGACTGACACACTCACGTACATGGAACAAATTGAGGAGCTGCCCTTCGACTGCATAAAAGAAATTGTTGAATGAGCTCAGCTGTACATGAAGTGTGCTCGCTGCAAGGGTCAAGATGAAGAGTCTAGCATTCTCGACAGTCAAAGTCAGCCCCCGTGCCAGTGAATCCACACATGCATATCCATATTTGAAGTATTTGTTTCTTTATTCTGATTCTTCCTGCTCTAATGCGATAATTTTTGACAGAACTCGCTTAGCTTTTCTACATGCACGCTCATCTCCCAACCTTGTATTGTTTCGCTTCAATCACTGCCCTCATCAATCACTGTCCACTCATCACCTGCAACAAGCGCAAATGGCGATCACACTGAGATTAGTAAAAATGTCTATATCATACAAATGTTGCAATGTAAAACTAAGTCTCCCAAACTATGCAAACCTCGTGAGCGTGAATGAGAAAGAGAGTGAGAAAGCTCTTACCTGATGCTCTTGTCATGAAATCATAACTTGCTGCCGAAACATTGCGCATGATCTTATTGGTAGCAGGTTGAAATTTAAGGGAGCGCTTCCATTGCATGGAGGTCATTGGACCATTGGCGTCCTTAGTGAGCGAATGTCGCATATGAGAAACCCCATCTTGAAGGTTGCAAAGACATCCTTGGAACCAATCTTCGCAGTGAGCAGACCAAAAACCTACATTCAAGCCCGACACGTTCCAAGCATTGGGCCGAGGCCACCATGAAACTACCTTCTGTCCATCACCTAGAAAGTGTGGTTGTTACTGATGGGACTGAACAGTAGTGAGCTTACAGTGATCTATGTAATATGTTCCACACATAAAATCAATTTCCTCCTCTGACAACCCATCGTCGTAGTGAGTTTGACCACCATCGCCAAATGGAACGGCTTCCATTGAAAGACCATTGAGGACAGATGGAAGATGGTCGAAACCAAGGCTGTGCAAAGCCAACTGCCATACGAGTCCTCCATGCAGGAATGCAGCCCCGCCTGGGGAAGATTCATAAATTCATGGCATAGCTGTTCATACACGATGTAATCAGCATATACGGGATTGAAGGGGGGTCGTCGATGTCCCAATGTGTAAGTATGAAGTTCAGAAAGGGGGCGGAGCCAGTTGGGTGTGACAGCCATTTGCTGTAAGGTCCTGAATGCAATGCCTCATTGAAGTAAAGCTAACACAATCTGCTTTATGTCTGAGCCCCAATCACAACAGAGGCACATTACAGCAGTAGTGGGGTCGAGGACAGCCAGAGTCCAAATGACATGATTTGGGGCCTCATGAGGCTCGATTATATAGTATCGACATTGTGATAGCTGTGCAAGAGAGACATGAATATAAGCATGTGAAATTTGTAGAGACGACAGGGGTCCAAGATCCCAAAGGTCAGGCGGGATTGTATTCAAGTCAGATTCTTTCATGTTGACGAGATATGCAATGTACTTCATGATGCATTGATGTTGTGGCTCTGTGATCGTACCTGTTTCTGATGTTGAATCACCAAGGAGCTTGCAAAGTTGATCCCATTTTGCCGTTTTAATCCAGTTGCTTGCTGGTGGGAATGATATGGCCAAGGGAGCAGAGGTAGGAGCGGTGATTCAATATCCGAAGTGATAATGCAAGATGGGAACGAACCCTTCAACACACGTATATCTTGATGAAAGTGAAACATCGCTCCTGAAGTATATATATACATCATTGGCAAAACTGGAAGGGGCGGGAGGTGGAACCTGGGAAGGGGTTGATATGGGGAGGGGAGGCATGATATCATCATCATCTTCCCGATCATCGCCATCAGGGATGGCAGGTGCACGAATACACGGAGCTTGGGAGTCACCGTGGGTGGCATAGTGCTTTGCGATTAACCTGAGGAATGGGCAATGCAAGAAAACGTGCAACAGTACAAACTGTTGCACGTGACAGACCAAGAACAAGAACAACCATTACACACAACAGACCAGGAACAAGAACAAGAGAAAACAACAGGCAACAGTACAGACCGTTGCGTGCGATAGGCGAGAACAAGATCAAGAGAACATGACAAGCAAGTTGTACAGACCCATTGGGCGCAGCTTACTAACAATAACAAGCCTGTGGGGTTTAAATTCGAGGCACCGATATAGCCACACTGAGGTGGTCGCGTGGAACACGCCTGTGCCTAGCAGTACAAACTGCTAGGCGATGGAGGTTATGAGTTGAAGAAAACACTCAGCAGTACAGACTGCTGAGCCCTGGGTGTAGATGGTTTAGAGTATACTTTGGCTGAGACCGAGAGTAGTTTGCTTGCACGTGACTTTGTTTGCAGATGTTTGTACTTTCTGACGAATGGATTCAGTCTTTCTTACCTATACTACACTTAATCTTTACTAGTACCTGATGCAATGGTCTGTACTGTTGTGTTTATCCCCCCCTCCTCCGACACGACAGTCTGTACTGTCGTGTCTGCTGGACACTGGTGGATATCCTCTCCTCTGACACAACAGTCTGTACTGTCGTGTCTGCTGGACTTCGACTGGTGGATATCCTCTCCTCCGACATGACAGTCTGTACTGTCGCTCCTCCTCCGACATGACAGTCTGTACTGCCATGTCTGCTGGACTTCGTGGTATGTACTTGCTCCAATCATATTGCTATCCTGATTTAATGTTTGCAAGACTCGGAGCAACATCCATAGATGATGGTACTGACTGTTGTCGTCGTCAAGCTTCTTATTTGCTCGATGCCCGGAGTGCATTGGAAAGGCCGGATGATGAAAAGGGCGCACTGAAAGGGGTGCTGATGGTAGAAGTAGAACGTCCTCGTCCTGGAGTCCTGAGACAGCAGTATGTACTGCCGTGTATCGATGCCTAGTGCCAATTCAAGGGATGAGTTCGGGACACAGACTGGTATGTACTCACTTTAATTCCATTGCTATCCTGACTTTAATTTCCTTGTACAGTGCTATTGTCTACCCATTCTCGTGCTGCATGCTATCTCCAGGAGTACAAAATTACGCATTCTTCTGCCTGCAGTACATTGTTGAACCCTACACTACCGCGACTCTCACCCATTTAAATGTTTCCTCTGAGATTGATAATGTCTCAACTTCACGCTTTGTCAAACCTGCAAGCCATTCCTTGTCATATAATGCTTTAGGTAATCCATCCACTTGCATTCTGGATGTCATTGGGTTCCCAGCCAAGCGTATCCGCTTCATTGGCTTTGAACCTTGGGAGGCAAAAATATCGCCATCCAAGATTCTTTGTTGATTGATAATATCCAATTCATGTTCGACCGCATGGCGCCAAGTCATGTTCTTGATGCGAAGAACTGTTTTGATGTCGTTTTCAATGTCACTCTCCTCCGAACTCATGCCGCCTTCTCCTAACGTCCCAACTAGTTGTTGAAGCCACTTCCAAGCTGGGAGGTCTTCCTCATCCTCGTCAGCCTTGTACCCAATGAGATGGTCAAGAACCGTAACTCTGCAAAGATATTTCTGAGAAGGCATTAGCACCAGATGTACGCAGGTGCTTGTAGCAGTGTTGAAGAATTTCCCTAAAATACGCCTCTGACCTTCGGAACAGCCACCTCTCTTCCAAACCCCTTCTCTGCAATTCTGCAAGGAGCAAGCTAATGACTTTATCGTTCCAGGGGCTTTTGAGCCCACATGTAAGATCAAAGGCAAGATCTTGGGAATTGGGACCTGGGCCATCTTCATATTTGTATGCGTAGGCATCCTCACGACTAGCCGCCTGATGAAGTATGAAATCGGCATCTTGAGAAATGTTGAAAATGTCCTTGAAGAGACGCCACACTTCTCCCTATACATCACCGTAAGTCACAGCTTCCATACCATGTTTTGGCTTACCAAAAGGAAGTCTCTTTCATAGCTTTTCTCAGCCGCTGTTACAAGAACATCTAGACACTTGGGCCCCTACCATTTTTCTCCTCATTCTCCTTGTCTCTGCCCTTGCATCACACCCTTACCCCGGCCTTGCTCTGGTTATCCTCATCATCCTTGCATTCCCCTTTGCCCTCTACCTGTTGCTCCAGCAGAGCCAGTACATCTGGCCAGACCCTTTCTCTGATGAAGCATACCCATGCTCCATTCCACCCGTTGACTGATCCTGTGGACAGTCCCCCTTACCCTTACTGTCTGGACGGTAAGCTATGATACGATGCACACCGCATCCCCTTTGCCCTGTTCCCTTTCCTGATCTATGACTCGGTGCGCAGTCGCACATGTGTACTTATATTTAGCTCTGCAGTTGCACAATTGTGCCCCTGTGTGTTTCACTTCCTATTTCTGTTCTTTGACTCACTTCCTATCTGCACGTTCCGGTTCGCCTATGACTCACCTTGAACATGTCTTCCTTTTCTAGTATCACCCTTTGACCAGTTCCCTTTCCAGTAGTACGAGTTATCATCCACTAATACGTGTCCTTTCTTCTATATAAACTTGCTACCATGTATCTAGTTCCTTAACTTGAATCTACTTAGTTCTTGACCTCCTACTCCTAACAAGAGTGATTCTTTCAGCCTAGCCAGCTGTCTATATTCTACTTTCTTATCTGCTCATTGCAGATAAGTCTCTAGTCTCGATCTTTACTCATCAACTTTGTCGTTGAGCAAAGCCCCTGTTACTAGTCGGACTTCTGTCCTTCTATTAACGCAGATCTTACGATTAACCTTTGGGTGTTGTAAGCCTTGGCAGATACACTTATCGTTGAGCCCCGCTTGACATAAGCTACCTGATTTGGACATAGGCATTAAATCTTACTTGCTGAAGCCTCGCCAAGTAAGACCCCTAACCTTGGGCTAGCCCAAGGATGTCCTCGACCATTGACGACACACGCTCTGTTTGAGTGTCACCAACAGATACTATCCAAGTCATAACAGCCGCCTTCTCTTGCTGGAGTTCTTTTTCCTCTGTCTTTCTTCTCTGGAGACTGTGTTTTTTGGTGACTGGAAATTCTTTGTTGATTAGAACACATCTCAGTGCGGCTTCTACACCTCTCGCAATCGCATCTTCCATCGCTGTAGCAGGATGCATATCGTGTTGTAGATGTGGTGGTGCGTCTTGTTCAGACGAGTGTTCTTGAGGTATTTCCTCTTCATCCACCTATTACTGTGTAGGTTTAAATTACAGTCAATGACATTGAACACTTACCTTGGATACTACCAATACAAGGCAAACTCTATGCAATATCCCCCGAGTTTTCTTAATTCTCTTAATTGCATCAATGCATAAGGTACCTGATGTTACAATAACATTTACTCCTATTCTATTTTTCTTTTCTTGTAACCATGCCGCCGACTCTAGACTCATCTAGACTCGGCTATTCTCTTATCAAGCAGGCTGTCCGCACTTCTCTTCTCTTTGATTGTAACATAGATACTATCTTGCGCCGCATGGCGGTTTCACCTATCTTTGCTATCTTGATAGGTTGTATTCTTTTTCCTATCTCTGTTACCATTCTTGTCGTGGCTATGCCGCTCCCTTTTTACCTATATAAACCCCATGTACCATAGATGTATCCCTTAACTTAATCTACTGGGTTCTCCCCTTGAAACCTGATCTACTAAGGTCTCCACCCTTAGTAGCCTGAACTCTGATTCTAAGACAGTCACTCACTGTCTTAGCCTGAAACCCTTGATTGCGGTAGAAGTGCTAAAACCACTCGCCGCTGATCCTGCATAGAAGCCACGGCTCGTGCAGTAGGAACCACCAGAAACCTTCCTTGTATTAGGAAGGCTGACGAACTGTTCGCCCGACAGGTCTATCTTGACCGGCAACAGTAGAACTATCCCAGTCGTAACACCTGATTGTGGTTTTGCGCATGGAGATGATGGTTGTCCCACATCTCCCAGCATAGTGGGGTTGTTCATATCTATACTAGCACACACCCGTTGTGCCTTCGGCACAGGAAGCAAAAAGAGCGCTTCGCACTCTTTGTTGGCTTCCTGGCCTTCGGCTTCATCCTACCTTTGGGTGTTTTAATAATCATCATTTTAGATCTTGAAATAAATTATATTGTATTCATTGAGTTGAGCATGATATATTACAATTAATGGGATTACACATATTGAACCCTCCTGTCCTCCTGTTGTTCTCTGGTTTTCTCATTCTCCTGTTTCCCTGTTCTCTGTGCAGATAAGAAAAGTAAAAGTACAATTGAATGTGTTGATTTCCCCTTACCTCCCTGTCGTCCTCCCGTCCTCTTGTCGTCCTCCCGTCCTCTTGTCGTCCTCCCGTCCTCTTGTCGTCCTCCCGTCCTCTTGTCGTCCTCCCGTCCTCTTGTCGTCCTCCCGTCCTCTTGTCGTCCTCCCGTCCTCTTGTCGTCCTCCCGTCCTCTTGTCGTCCTCCCGTCCTCTTGTCGTCCTCCCGTCCTCTTGTCGTCCTCCCGTCCTCTTGTCGTCCTACCGTCCTTTTGTCCCCTTTCCTGTTCTCCCATTTCCCCATTCTCCTGTTCTCCCATGTTTCCCATTCTTCCATTTTCTGTTTATCCTGTTCTCTTGTTCTGCAATTTTCCTCATTTTCTCTGTTCTCCCATCTCCCCCATTCTCCCATTCTCATTTCCCATTTCTCAATTGACTTTTCTTCTTTATGTAGTTAAATTTTTTGTGTGTATATAATTTGAATTTCATAAATAATAAATGTTTTTAAATGTGTGCTGCTCTAACGGGCAGCGGACCCTTGAAATCACGTGACAGCCACGCGAGTTTCCAAATCGAGCTTTAAGCAAGGTAAGCAAAACCACATGGCATTTAGCGAATCTAAGTGTATCTAAGTGTATCTATGCGGTGCAAGTGGAAACCATGCGAGTGTCCGTCCCTTCCCACCACTGTTCTCCCTTACTTTATAGATCCTCATTCTGAGGCTCGTGACGCCTGGAAAATCTCCGTTCCATCTTGGCCAACTTGCTCTCTTTTTCTGCTTGGTGACTATTTCAGTATATATTCATTTGTATATGAAACATGTTCTTGCCTTCAACTTGAGCATTTCTTGCTGTAACCTTCAATCCATCTCAGCGAGTATCGCATTCTCGCGCTCTTGGAACTGTTTATTGTTATCGAACTGTTCTTCTGTTGGATTATCCACCTCACCTCTTTGTTTGTCTGTCTCTTCAACTCTTGCTCACATCGGGCCAGGTCTTCATGCAGCTCTGCTTCTTGCTGCATCCGAGCTTGTGCCAAGTGATCATGAGCGTCCTGCTGGATTTTGTCCACAACAGCGGCTATTGCCTCCCAATTAGCCTGGCCGAGTTCCTCTCGAGTTTCTCTGATATGGTCTTCAAGTGACTGCTGCTGGACACGTGTTCTCTGTTGTGTTCATGAGCGTACGTCTGGTGGTCACACGCTACAGCAGGAATTACCTCAATTTCCTCCTGGGCTGCTGCTAGTTTCTCTTGCTGCTCTCTCAGGGTTGTTTCCCATTGAAGTTTCATCTTGTTCATGTTTTGCTCATGTTCTGCCTTTTGTTTTTCCACTTGCTACAGCGGCCACATCAGATATCAAAAAATCTCCAGTGAGATACTACAGACTGTTTGCATATTGTGGATCAGTTCCCCCTGACTGTACACAGTTTGGCGTAGTGTCTCTGAGTAGTCGACTTCTTTGATGTGATGCTTGTCAGGTAGTACCTGATAAAACGAAGTCTAACATTAACCTTGAATCATATTACCTAGATATACCGAATCGGCGGCTCGCTTTTCCCTCTTGTCAGGCAGAGCTGTCCTTGTCTGGCTCGAGACATCATCCAAGTCCATCCGGGAGGTCCCTCTCTTGTGCAACTGAGTTGTCGAAGTTGATGACTGGCCTGTGACATCATTCAAAGGCTCTTCAAAGTCCATCCGGGAGGCCTCTTCCAATATCTAGAACAGACACTGAGCCTGGCATGATTCTCGCTCGCTCAATGAATATGGACATACTCTGCATTGTGCTGTGTCAAAATGGGATGTTGGACTCTCAGTGTCTGCCATATTGTCGTCTTTGAACAAGCCTACGCACTGGCTGCTGTTTGTATGTTCTCCTGCTCATTGTGAACATGGGACATGGTAATAGGAGTCGGCATCGTTGTAGTGATGGTCATGGTGTTGGGCTTGAAACCACGTATTTTCATACTCACATCAACACCCAAAACATATGCGCACATGTCCGACACACTTTCGCACATGTCCAAAACACTCCGTATCAGATCCGGTGCATCAGACCTTCGGACATTGCATTGGCTGATCACACTTCGTGCGCACTTGTCCATCCCATGTCCTGTCCATCCGAACTAGCCTCACTAGGTGCGTAGTTATTCCTGTGCACGTTTTCTGACATTCGGACCACGTTATTACATGTCCGCAGTACCTCATGTCTTATTACATAGGACATCGGACCCGAAATATATTGCTACTATCTTCGCCTGTAGTATTCCGAATCTCTATGTACTTACTTAAATACTCTGTAGTGACCCATAGCAATCATCATCCAGTAGTTAGGAGCCGTTTCCCGGCTCTGCGGATCACCCAGAATATTCTCATAGTTCTTAGTTGCATTGCGAAATATTACCGTTCATTCACCATCATACTCCATCACTTGTTATACTCGCGCATACCGCTTGCAATCCAACACTTGTTATAAAGTTTCTGACCTATTATCATGAAGTCCAAAAGTCCGAAATCTCAGACATCGCACTTTGGCTTCGGACATTGGATAAGTACCTTCGGACATCATTCGCACCATCGGACATTCTGTTCTTTGCATTACTGACACATTTTTACTACTAATACCAATTAGCAATCCCTTTAGGATCGAACACACTTGCTCTGCAAGTATAGCAGCATAGGTCATGCTAAGATCTACCTAAACATTGTTGACTAGGTAGTATAATTTCTGCTGAGCCCAGCAGAGATTTACTCTTTACATTGTGAATGTTTGACTTTTGGGCTCGGCATGGATCCTACTTATGTATGTTCACCATTATTGTATTTAGACTTTATTATTCTAACTTTTCGGTCACTAGTGATTCACCCTGACAACATTCTATTATCCTTTTCCAGGCCCTTGAGCGTAGTCATTTCGGGTGTGTCATAAATGTAAAATGAAAACACAAAAAGCCTAGGTGTGCAAGATGAAGCCTAGGCATGCAAGATGTTTATTAAATGAAACCATATTTATTGTTCTGATCCCCACATTCTGCAGAACAAATAAAGACAATAGATATGGTGATTGGTTCATCAATTCAATTCTTTGGGATGCTCTGCGCTCTGCGCAAAATACACTCAGTTCAACGTAAGTACAAAAAAACTACTATAAGATCGCCCACTTTCAAGCCATTCCTTGTCCTACGTGCTGGTCACCTATCTGATTTTCATTTGTGATTCCTGTGCTGTGCAATGGTCAATACTCATGTTTATATCTTCCCTGCGTCATCCATAAGCTGCTATAATCTCACTTCTTTTGATTTATACTGACCGCTATAAAGACTGCTGAACTTCAGTTGCGGTGTAGGCTGTATTCTTCATCCTGGAGTAAACCTTGTCAGGTCACCATGTTGACACAATGCTCTGATTGCTCATGCAGTGGGAAACACTTTCCCGTTCCCGAGAGCCTCCTGGATTGTGCAACCGTGTAGCCTTATGTTCATAACTGTGTTGTCACCCTGCATGAAGGAAGACATATTTATCAGTTTTGTGTTTTCTTCAAGCGGCACTGCCGTCTGAGAACCAATCCACTTCTCAGCAGCATTGACCACATATTACGAGGTGATGCAGTCGTTATGAGGATTGGTGCTAGCGTGGGCTATGTTGTGACATGCAAAGCAGGGACAATTCACTTGCAGACTTCATCATGGATCGGTAAGCACAATCACTGGACAGTCATTCCATTGTTGACCAAGAATCCATCAGTTTTATACAAACTATTAGACATCATCCTCGAGCAAAGTTTCCATGTACTCTCACCATTGTGAAGCCCTTGAGCACTTGGTTAAACCACCAGCTGGCTTCCAGGATCATCAGCGGCGAGGTAGTTTGATGCAGAGTTATATATAGAATGATCTGTATGTATGTAATACACTATGAAGTTTGCCATGATGGTGCCGTTCTTGCCACAAGCATCATGAGTGCTAGTACACAGGATTAAGCTTAATTATCAGGTGAGACTTCGTCGGAAAGTTTAAATGAGTCATAGATGTTGAATACGTGCGTTATCTCACATTTGGTAAGGGTCAAGTCCTCCAGGGCCATTCGGTAAGGAACTTTGTATATAAGGTGGAGCAACAATCCCTAGTAATTCAACTAAAAAACGATACATGGAGGTATAGTATGAATTGAGTCTACTGTAGATCAATATCATCTTACTTTTGATGAATCTTTCTTGCTTTTGCTCTTGGACTTGCCCGCAGCCATCTTTGCCTGTGTCTGCCTAGCACGACCTGATGTATATTTCAAACACATCATGATCATATCATTCAGCAGCCAAAAGTCCCTGTAGTTTTCTAAGTCCGGGAAAGCATCGACAGCCTGACAAATCATAAATCAGTGGACAACTGCCATCTGTGATTTACTTACTTTGTCGCGCACAACTTTCAGGAGCACATGGTTTTGGGAAGAAGCACACTTGGTCGTATCGAGATGTTCTCTGATGAGGTGGTGTATAGATTTCTTATGTTCATGAGCAAATAGCACATTGTGGTGAGAGCACATCACTCACCTTGAATTTAGCATATGCCTTTGGGTTCCAGTCTAAAGCCTCGTTAAGCGTGTATCCTCCATGCCCTGGATGACCAGGTTCACCAGGGGGCTTTGGTATCTTCAAATCTTCCAAGAGACTCTCATGCGAAGTTGAGGAGGAGTCACTTTCCGACATTGGATCTAATGAACTCAAATAATCTGAGGGCATGGGCGTCCGAGAACTGGAGCGTGAATGCTCAAATGAAACTCTCTTTGAGTATGGCGAGGAGTCATTCTTTAATAACCGTGCTGCAAGTTTGAGCTCAGGCGCCAGCATGTGCTCGAGTTGCAGGTGCTTAGTATGCTGAGGAGGATCGACAGTACTGATTTTGGAAGGAAGAATATCATCGGAAACGAGCATAGTTGAGCGGTGAGCACTGTCGAATAGTTCAAGCTGGTCCGTGAGCATAGGAGGGAAGGGAGGTGGAGCACCAGGCTCTTGATAAGGAGAGACAGTGTTGGTTTTGTTGGGCATGATGTTGTGGTTGCAGTTATGGCGATGTGAGTGGGACGAGGGCAGGCAATCAAAATATTGGGTATGAACTGTAATAACCTCTAAGAGATTTATGATCTAATGACACCATTCAACGTAACCTACTATATAGAGATTAAACACAATAAGACAGTCAACAAAAGAAGTGGCTTACAAGGGTCGGATACATAAGTCCTAAATATAATAGAAATCTTACGTTGTCTTAATAACCGAGGGTCTTATATAAAGTTGTGTAAATGTAATGACACCACAATTACACTTTGGATAAGACTGCTTGCCAGTCCTCGATTAACACGGTCTACGACTTTTCCTATTTCGTGGTAGATAATGTGTGAGTTCTTGGGAGGCTCGCTAAACTAATCTTTTTATAAAGATCAACCTAGCCAGAGCTTTACTTTTCTTTATTGAAACTCAAATCTCTTGTCTAGGAATAAGCTTCTAGACACGTAATTCGGTTTCTGGAATGTATTTGCCTAGGAAATCTCCTTCTAGGCTCTGGACTTGGATACTGGAACTAGTGAGATGTGGTCTCAAATATACGAAATATGACCAAGATTGCTTGGTCTATGGACACTTGACTGTGAGACAAATGGTCTCAAATATACGATATATGTTCAAGATCGCTTGAACAAAGGGGACTATAACTTGACCAAGATCACTTGGTCTATGGGACAACTAGTGAGACGTGGTCTCAACAATATGATAGATGACTAAGATTGCTTAGTCAAAGGGCACAGAGCAATGAGACAAAGGGGTCTCAAAGACAATATATGTGACCAAGAACACTTGGTCTATGGCACTAAATAAGTTTCTAAGGTAAGAAACTTATAATCTCAAGGGAATTCTTTTCCCTGCACTTGTCTCACTTCAAAGGGCCTAACTTTGCAAGTGAAATATCTGATAGGCAGATTGCTACAAATGGGAGATCATATTTTTTTGGGGGGAGAATGGGCTCTCCTTATATACATTTTGTGTGGGAAAGTAACCTAGGTTCACAAACAATAAAAAATAAGGAGGACCAATCAAAATATTGGGTCAAACCCAATAAAAGAATAAAATACAAGTGAAAGATGGAGCTATGACATCATTGTGGAGCAGAACATTCTGGAATGTGGAGTAATGACATCATAATGACATCAAGAATGACATCATTGTGGAGCAAAAGATTCCAGAACCTTCCATGAGTGAGTCATTGTGGAGCAGAATATTCTAGAAGGAAATGACATCATGGATGATGTCATTGTGGAGTAGAATAATCTAGAGCTTGATGACATAATATCTTTAAACAGAATACCTGCAGGAGTATCTGTGGAGTCTTATGACATCATAATGACATCATACCCTATGGGTACAATTTTATGAAGTGTCAGGTGAGTCAAAGCATCCTAATGAAAAAGTAAAGTAAAGAAACACTAGAGAAAAGTAGGTAGCAAAAATAAGACAGTTGGCAGGAATTGAAACACGGTCTTTTTGGATAGGTTTTTTTATTGGCTTTGTACTTTTCTCTATGGTTTTCTCTAGCCAAAGTGAATAAGCCAAAGGCAAGGCTATACCTTAAACTTCATTTCTCTTCTCACATCAACTAGGTCTAAATGTGATTCCCATCTCACATTAGACTTTTTCCGTCAAAACATATTCAGATCATGAAACTTGGGGAAAACTGGAAATATGGACCATGGTTTGAAACCAAGGTATGGGTTGACTAGTCTGAGGACTAAGCTAACAGACTTTATCTTTTGAGGGTCACCTAGTATTCATGTCCATGCATGATTCCCACATCATGCAGGACAACATGAGGTGAAATGAATTGATATGCACTCACAAAAGGATGGATAGAAAACTGAGAACCAACAATTGGCTAGGAAATTGTCATGGGATCAACAAAAAAAGTTCCCAGTATAAGTAGGCTGTGAGCAGGTGAATGGTGACTACAACCAATCAGATCGTGCACACAATGTCTTCTTTTATCTCATCACTCTTCACGAAATCAAAGCGACACTTCCAACATCAAACGCGCATTTCCACCTATGGCAGATCCATTCACGCCTTCGCAATATCTAACAATGCTCAGGCTCTAGCATGCGGGGGTAACTTGACATGCACTTAGCTACGTGAGGGTGCTGACAGACAAGCAGGGACCGAGGGCGTTAAAATCTGGGATATCAAATCTAGGAAAGAACTTACATGCTCGACTCATCACTATGAGTCCCAGGGCACAGTCAGCTGCGCTGTCTGGATCACAACAAGACTTGGTATGGGAGAAATCCTTTGTTATGGAACTGGGCTGGGCTACATTGTGTTTTTACGTCATAGCCATATAGATGTAAGAGTGTCCTGGTCCCATCATTAAACGTTCAGCTAACATCCAATAGATGCAGTTTCAGGAGGCTTGTGCTAGGAGGCTTGGATCAGGCTTCGAAATTACTTGCGTGGTATAGGATTTGACATCCTCCAAAACAACTATGCGGATTGCAGTAGGAATGAGGGACAAAATAGTTCAAGTCCTCGTTCTTGTTACGACTTGGATAGTATCTGTTGGTGATGCTCAAACAGAGCATGTGTCGTCAATGGTTGAGGACGTCCTTGGGCTAGCCCAAGGTTAGGGGTCTTACTTGGTGAGGCTTCGGCAAGTAAGATTTAACGCCTATGTCCAAATCAGGTAGCTTATGTCAAGCGGGGCTCAACGATAAGCGTATCTGCCAAGGCTTATGACACCCAAAGGTTAATCGTAAGATCTGCGTTAATAGAAGGACAGAAGTCCGACTAGTAACAGGGGCTTTGCTCAACGACAAAGTTGATGAGTAAAGATCGAGACTAGAGACTTATCCACAATGAGCAGATAAGAAAGTAGAATATAGACAGCTGGCTAGGCTGAGGGAATCACTCTTGTTAGGAGTAGGAGGTCAAGAACTAAGTAGATTCAAGTTAAGGAACTAGATACATGGTAGCGAGTTTATATAGGGGAAAGGACGCATATTAGTGGATGATAACTTGTACTACTGGAAAGGGAACTGGTCAAAGGGTGATACTAGAAAAGGAAGGCATGTTCGAGGTGAACCAGAATGTGCAGATAGGAAATGAGTCAAAGAACAGAAACAGGAAGTGAAACAAGCAGGGGCACAATCATGCAACTGTGGAGCTAAATATAAGTACAAATGTGCGACTGCGCACCGAGTCATAGATCAGGAAAGGGAACAGGGCAAAGGGGATGCGGCATGCATCGTATCATAGGTTACTGTCCACAGGATCAGTCAATGGGTGGAATGGAGCATGGGTATGCTTCATCAGAGAAAGGGTCCAGCCAGATGTACTGGCTCTGCTAAAGCGACAGGTAAAGAGCGAAAGGGAATGCGAGGATGATGAGGATAACCAGAGCAAGGTCGGGGTAAGGGTGTGATGCAAGGGCAGAGACAAGGAGGATAAGGAGAAAAATGATAGGGGCCCAAGCATCTAGATGTTCTTGTAACAGTTCTGAACACAAATTCACAGTTGCAGGCCCATTTTTCAGTACAACTTGACAACACGGTGCCAAAGTCTGTAGTGTTTGCAGACAATGGATGTGTCTATGTCTTTGGATTGTACGACAGGAACTTCATCAAGCTGAGGGGTGATGATGGTGCAGTGGTGAAGGAATACAGCTGCCAATTGGTTATGTAAGTGTATGATATGCCATCAACAGATGTATTACTGACTGTCTTTCAGCGGACATGCAGCAGTGAACCAGAAGAGGGGTGTGTTCATAGTGGACAATGCCACCAATGGTTTTACTTTGTATCACCTTGAAGGTGACAAGGAACCTGTTCGAACATTTGTGACTGCTGCTCCAAGTGTGTCCGTCCCCAAGCAGGTGGCATTCGGGGCAGAAGGAAGAATGATCATCAGGGGGAGTGACCATGGATCAGTGTATGTGTTCGAGAGGAAATCAGGAAAGTTGTTTGAAACTCTGTGCCACTCCAATACAGGCTTGGTGCAGACAATAGCAGTAGGTGTCAGATTCAAAGGGTAGGATGGATACTGATTATTTTCCCAAGACACGTGATCTTAATGGACACTGTACAGTCACCAGCGCTTCACCAGCGCTAGGCCGTGGAAAGGCCACAATCAACTTATGGATTTACAACTATAGCACAGTAAAGGGACCTCTCACCTCTGAAGAATCCTGGCCTATGTCGCGTGTGGTTATGTTCATGTTCAAAATGCTGGTTCATTTTGGGGCCTTGGCGGTTATCATCTGTTTTTTAATAACAAACTACTTTGTAAGTCGAGCAGTAGCTGAGCAGCAGTCAACAAATTCACACCTTCACAGGACACAGTGGTAATGTGGTCAGGAGACCTTGCCCAACACATGACAACTATGTGAGTGTTTGCCTTTTCGGATAAAAATTTCTGAAGTCCTGAGGTATTCTATGAAGTACCAGAAGCCCATCAGCAAGTGGTCGAACAGAGCAGCATTTTGACCTTAGATGAACTGGCAGGAAAACTCATTGAAGTTATTCGAGAGGCAAACAAAAATTTAGATGTCGGTGAGGATATTCATGATATGATACAACACAAGGAGATTTCTGCAGAAGCCAGAAGAGTATTTTTTGATGCAGTGAAGGAGAAACTGATATCTGGAGCTTGGATGTGAGACACGAAGAAGTCCTCTACTTGTGATGTAGAAATGTTGTAGCATATCAAATTAATGTTGTCTCGTGTTGGTTGTAAACCCCTCCATGTGTAACATGGAGGGATGGCTGAAGATCAAAGAGAATCACCTGATGGGTGAAATGGCATGGGGTGGGCATGTGGAGAGATGACCAAAGACAATGACCAAAGACCAGAAAAATTTGCCTGATGGGCGAAATGGCGTGAGGTGGGTGACATGATCTGCGAGATAATGGCATGAAGGGATGACCGAATATCAGAAAGAATCGCCTGAAGGGTGAAATGGCATGGGGTGGGCGCGTTGCATGCGACAGGCAGAGAACAAGATGGATAGACCACAACGAGCAACAGTACAGACCGTTGCACGCAACAGGCAGAGAATAAGATTGAGAGACCACAACGAGCAACAGTACAGACCGTTGCACGCGACAGGCAGAGAACAAGATTGAGAGACTACGATGAGCAACAGTACAGACCATTGTATGCAATGGGCAGAGAACAAGATTAAACAGGGCCAACTTTGAGTTTGGCTTGCATGTGACTTTGTTTGCAGATGTTTGTACTATCTGACGAATTGATTCAGAGTATTCGATTCTATTCTTGTATTCTACACTTATGATCTACACCTGACACAATGGTCTGTACTGTTGCGTTTATGCCCTCCTCCTCCTCTGATGTGATGGTCTGTACCGTTGTGCCTGCTGGACTTTGACCACTTCATCGTCCTGGACTCCTCATCATATGGAACTCCAACTTAAATTGATCTCATGTAGGCAAGTACCTTGTACTTTGTCGCTACCATTTCTTATTCGGCTAAGATGGCATTGTTCTCTGTTGTTCATACTCTTGATCTTTGTTGTAAGTCACTTTACTTTCCCCTTGTTTTTTTCAATTTAAATGGTCACCTCAGGCTCTTTGCACTCTGCAAGACTCCAACACAATCCATAGACGATGATGGTACATACTGTCATCGCCGTCAAGCTCATTTGGTCACCTCAGGCTTACAGCACAATCCATCACAATCCATAGATGACGACAGTACATACTGTTGTCGCTGTCAAGCTCATTGGTCACCTCAGGCTTACAGCATGATCCATCACAATCCATAGACGATGATGGTACATACTGTCATCACCGTCAAGCTCATTGTTCACTAGATGCCCGCGTCCCATGCAGCGCTCACGCAGTGCATATGTGAGGAGTGCACTAGAAGGGGGGGATATGATGAGAAAGGCGCACCAAGAGGGGTGCTGATAGCAGAGCGCTCAATCTCGGCTCACATCCAGTGTGTAAAGGCAGAAAGTGCTGCATCTGCCATCACTACCGTCTCCTCTATTACTGATGATATCAGACATTTGTCCCTTGCTGCAGATAATCCCCAGTCCCCGTCATTTACATCTGCAATGAAAAATAATCTGGATGGCGCAGGATCATGCAACCTTCCTGCAGTTCCTGTTTCTGCCCTGTTAGATGGCCTCGAGCGGTTGCAGTTGTCTGATTGCATGTCAACCCCACTAATGGAAAAGGCTGACAGAGAGACTGTATCAAAGCCGAAGCCCAATCAGCACACAGCAAAAGCATTGCACATCCTTGATAATATTGACTCCTGGATTCAGTGGTGCTTTCGCCTATTGTTGCATCCTTGTAACCTTGATGATGTTGGTCGTGAGCTATCTTTACTTTGTACAGCTATGGAGAATGTCAATGGAGGGGCAGATGTTATAATTGCATAAAAGAAGGCAATCAAAATACAGATGGATGATCTGGCTACCCAGTTTGGCAGTTACCAGGACATGCTGCAAGTACCCATCGAGATTAACACTGGTAAGTCATGAGTATGTCAACCATGGTTCCTTGCTTATCTTTTAATAGATACTCTGCAGCAAGCTCCAGTTGATCACTCAGACGAGATCAGCCAAGTCGTCTTATTCCTTTGTGTGGCATGCAGAGTTGTCATGGGGCTCAGCAGACGCAGCTGTGATTTCATCATAAAGATAATTTCCATCATATTGTTCCTCTCATTTTGAAGGTCGGATGGCAGTCTTAGCTCCTCGCATGAAAATATCCTCAAGCAAATTCCTCTGACCTTGGAAGGCACAGAGACCAAATTTCATCTCACTGGCAAAACCATCGTGTATGCTGTCTGCAGTTGTCATTGCACCTATCCTCTGACATATGCACCAGGCTCTAGGACTGCAATATACCCTCAACATTGTATGCATTGTCCTGTGCCTGGGATCGAATGTGGTGATGCTTTACTTGTTGGCATTGAAGGAGAGCTCTGTCCAAAGAGGATTTTTATATATCATGACTTCAAAGACTATCTTTCTGGTCTTCTCTCTCAGAGAGATGTGGAAGCCATGATGGATGAAGCTTGTGACGATTTCATGGACTCCATTAACTCTTCTCTTCCGCCCTTCGTCAAGAATCTATTTGAAGCCCAATTCCTCCGCCAATTTGGCAGCCCGAAGCCTGAAACACTTTTTATCAATTGAGGAGAGGAAGGATGCTATGTCTTTGCCTTTCATGTAGATTTCTTCAATCCTGAAGGGATGAATGTGCGGGGAGCTAGTACGTCTTGCGGAATCATCTCCATGGCGTGCTTGAATCTGCCTTTGGATATCAGATATAAGCTGGAGAATATGTATCTCGCAGGTATCATTCCAGGTCCAAAGCAGCCATCTCTCAAGAACCTCAACCATTACATCTGGCCACTCATCAATGATTTGGTAGATGCATGGGAGCATGGCATCAAGTTTTCCAAAACTGCGCGTTACCTACTGGTCGGCTAACTCGCAGTGCTGTTGCCCTCGTTGTTTGCAACCTTCCTGCTGCTCATCATCTCTCTTCTCTGGCTGGAGTCAGTAGTCATTTCTACTGCAGTGCATGCAAATGCTATCACAAGTCTACTTATGGAAGGGTGGACTACGAGAATTGGGAACCCCGTGATAGCAACGAACTTCGGCAATGCGCAGAGCAGTGGCAAGACACTGCCACATCCCCTGAGCGTGAAAAGATATTTAAGGCGCATGGTGTGCGTTATTCTGAACTTTGGCATCTATCATACTGGAACCCTTCACGACAACTTATTATCGATCCAATGCACTGTTTGTTAGAAGGTCTAGTCCCATATCACACTCATAGTCTCCTCGGCTTGACTTTGGCAAAGTACCTCCCAGGACAATGACATCCAAGGAAATGATGCAAACATTTATGGTTCATGCCCTCCTTGTTTCTCAGATCAATGGGCAGCTGGATGAATGTTTTGGCATGTTGAAAAAATCTCTGCTGTCCAAGAACGTGGGTGTGTTGAAGTTTGTCTGCAATACCTTGGGTTGTACGCCACAGAAAGCTGGTAGAATACTTAAAGTTGATTATGTTAAGGCTCTCCTCGAGTAGGTAAGCTCTTCGTTCACCATGTCCATTGTCCTGAGTTTCTAAATGTTTCTATACAGCGTCGTGAACAGCCACATCCATTCCTACTTGGTTGGGTTCAGTTCCAAGTGATTTTGGTGAAGCATCTGCTGGGACACTCAAGGCTGATGAGTGGCGAACACTCATTATGGTCTACCTTCCCATTTCCCTTGTGAGCCTTTGGGGAGCCAGTACTTCGCACTCTTCTCCTGAACTTGCTGCCCGCCTCAGAACTGTTCTTGACCATACAATGGAACTGGTCTGTGCAATTTATGTTGCATGTGTGCGAACAATGACTGCAAGAAGGGCACAAGCCTATTGTTTGTACATTGTTGGTTATGTCGGAAAGTTGAAGGAGATACATCCTACCTCCTCTCCACATCCAAACCACCATGCAGCCTTTCATATATATGACTTCCTACTCCTATTCAGTCCCGCCCACTCGTGGTGGTGTTTTCCTTTTGAGCACCTCATTGGAATACTTCAACGGATTCCTGTAAATCACAAATTTGGTATGTCACTGTGCAAATATGGAATGAACAAGTAAACTAATGGTTTCTTAGGGGAGCTTGAGAACACAATGCTTCGCCGCTGGCTCGCTCGACCGGATTCTCTGCATATTATTCAAGAGTGCAGGGACATCTTTGATAGAGTATATGCACCCAAGAGCGCTGAAAATTCCAGCCAAGAGTTTGCAGAGGACCCCATAAATGACATTATTTGTGTGCCCGACTCTGCAATGAGTAGCACTGTGCCTGATGACTTATATTCCCTCCTGAAATGACGAACCGCAATCTTACGTGCCACCCTCAAGTTCGAAGGTGTTATATACAGTAGGGCATCAACACACTTGGGGAACAGCCAAGTTCTCTTCTACCCCTGAGGAGACTGGACATTGACCCCTGTCCCTGCCAGCATCAAATACATTTATGGCACGCTGATGGGGGAATTGTCATTTGCTGCACAGAGACATCTCCTGCTGGATCGTCAAGACTGTATGATTGATCCCTTCTCAATTTACCCTGATTTCCCTGCAAAAATGTACTCGACAGAGCTTGAGAGTCACCTGGAAAATGTTAAGGTAACCTGGGTAGTCAGTCACTTCGTGCGATGAACGGTTTCTGGCCGTCACGCAGTGATTCTATCCCTATCTCGTGATTGATCAGTTTATTGCTTTATTTTTCAAGTCGTATTTTTCATTCTGTCTTGCTCATACCCTCAGTAGCTCAAAAAGTTATCATTTGTGCCCAGATAGTATCGTGTAAATAAATGGAATTTCACTCAAGATCACTAATCTCAGTGTGATCGCCATTTGTGCTTGTTGCGGGTGATGAGTGGGCGACAATTGCATTATGGGTGGGCAATGATCGGGCGATTTATTTTGTCCAAGCACAAAACTTGAAGTTTCGCCATCACATTTTGTCGCCGGTGTAAACTTCATATTTTCGGCAGCCCCTAATTGTTGGACAAAACTTAAAGCATCAGCAAGCATAAAGCCACAGATTAAACTTCAAGTTTCATCCGAAGTTTTATGTGATAATTAAATTTTAAATTCAAGCAGACACTGAAAACCAGACCATATTTCTTATTTGCACCAATGTATAGTCGGCGAAAAAATGGGCGCGAATATTTCATATTTTAGATTTTGCACAAAACAATGACTAAATTTGAAGTTAAATGCCCCTCTTTATGTCAGTTTAAACTCCAAATATTTTCTTTGCATTTCATACAACATATAAACCTATCCTAAATATCACTAACCCTGAAGTGACTGCTACTCCACCTCCCACCATTAGACAATCAACTAGTCTAATGCTTCCTCCACCCAGTGTAGACCAGCCTTTTATGCATGTATCAGCACTTGAGGGAGGAGCTCTTCGCATCCCCTGTGATTTGGTTGTGGACGGCAACTCACAAGGAGAGTCCATATCGTGTCCATCTCTTGCCTTTGCACTACAACACTCCAAGTCTAAGTCACGGGTTGTTTTCAACTTAGGTATACGGCGCGACCTAGAAGGATACACCCCTCGCTCCCAGGAGCGCATCAAGGCCGCAGGGTTTGCCCCTGTTGCGAACCAGACAGTCGCAGAGTCACTGGTTAAGGGAGGCATTTCCCCTGATGAGGTTGAAACTGTCATCGTTAGCCACTTGCACTGGGATCAGTGAGTGTTAGGAAGAGCTGACAGATCCAAAAACAATTGACTGCTCGGTATTAGCATTGGGAACCACGAGCCATTCGCCAGAGCTACATTTGTTGTGGGGGAAGGGTGCAGGGAGCTCCTGACTTCAGGATATCCTATGAACCCTGACTCCTTCTTCTCTTCGACCACTCTTCCACATGAGCGTATTAAGTTTCTTCCTCTATCTGATTTCAATGTACCCATTGGACCATTTCCACTTGCATTGGATTTTTTTGGCGATGGCAGTATGTATGTGATTGATGCGCCAGGTTTGTGATATGGGAAGCCTTGGAATGCATGACCTAACAAATCAGCATGATAGGGCACATCAAAGGACATATAAACATACTTGCACGCACCACCTCAGATGGTGCATGGTTTCTGCTTGGAGGAGATTCCACTCACAACTACAGACTAATTATGGGTGAGAAAGAGGTTGCACATAGTATTGATCCATCAGGTTGCATCAGGTGCATGCATGAAGATAAAGAGAAAGCTGTGGAGAATATCACAAGGATCCAGTCATTGTTGGAAATTCCAAGAGTGCAGGTATTGATTGCTCACGATTCAAAGTGGTATGAGGAGAATAAGGGAGGCTCTGCCTTCTTGCCTGGGATCATACTGCCATTGGCTGCATGAATATCAGTGATCAATTTATTTACAATTGTTCTCTTCACGGGAAAAGCACGACGTCGCTCTGGATGATAGAGTGAAATTTCAAAGAGAGAAAGATGTCAGGACAACAGGCTAAATTCTAATATGCGAGCATCAAGTGTGGCACTATGAAAAGTGTTACACACAGTAGAGTCGAGATTTCGTAGAATAGACTTATTTCAGACAGATAGAACAGTCCGAACGTAAATATATTCGGGGGTGGAAATGATCAACTACTCTACCAGTAATAAACGAACGGTTTAAATACTGTAGAGTTAGGAATACTAAAGAATATGAGAGAAGGAATGAACTTTATGAGTCAGTAGAAAGCTAACAACGAGAATAACGAGCGTTACATCAAGGCTGGTTATGGCCAATTTAAAAGTTCCCACGAAGCAGGTCAAGTTCTACTTCGATGTTCCTTGCAGAAGGAGGAATGGCCTCATTTTTACCAGCATAGGCAATCCAACGCCACCGCGTGCGTACGGTCTTAACGTGTTTTCCATTCCACTTGCTCCATAATGGATAGTTCGTCTGTCCTGAGCGACGAAGATTACGATGTCATCTCCAACCCTGGTCAGCGCTCTTTGGAGTCCAGCATTGCCGACTTGCATCATATTCCAGCCTTGACTACTTATGAGCTTCCCCCCTCTGATGCAGCCAGGGAACGACTCAGTGCGGTGGCACTGAGTCCTGGGGATATACAAACATATGTGCAGAATGCACTTAGTACTTCTGGTGCAAGAAAGTACCCACGGGACAACATGACTTTAAGAGTGTATGTTGATGGCGTATTCGATGTATTGACTGTTGGGTGAGTACGTCGCCACTCGATGCTGCACAATCGCTAAAGGTCATCTAAGGCATGTGCATCAGCTCCGTCAAGCGAAACTATCATTCCCTTCCGTACATCTTATTGTCGGAGTGCTTTCGGATGAGCAATGTCGAGCTCACAACACCACACCTCATTTCTCACATCTCGAGCGTTGCGAGCTTATACGGCACTGTCGCTGGGTAGACGAGGTACTATATGACGCCCCATGGACAGTGAACGATCGCTTTATTATCGACAAGCGCATTGATTATCTTGCGTTGGAGGAGGGTTCCTCTGTTAACCCTGAATTCGACAAGGAAAGACTCAAGGGATACGACGCAGTGAAGAGACTAGGTATATATATCCTTCTCGCAAAAGTTACACATACTAAAGAAGAACTCAGGACGAGTACTACCCACCCGAATAACTACTGGACTAACTGCTGCTCCGCTTTTGGTGTCTTATAATGCATCGGAAGACATTACACCATTCCAAGAACTTGCCGAAATGGCGTTAAAACAACCCAGTCACAGCACCTCTACGCACCTGCCTCCGACAACTTGTACTACCACGTCCGCCGACAGCAAGACTCGTGGCCTTGAGGCCCTAGAAGCCATGTCGAACGAGCTAGCGGAGAGGTGAACTAGGAAGCAAGGCAGGTAGAAGGTACATGCCGGGGAAACTGATGCTCACTGTTGATACAAATAGTAACTTTATATGACGGGCTTTTTATACTTGTGTTGTGTTGCTACTTGCGCTATTCAGCTGTTCTTGCTTTGTCGCATTGGTTCTATGTCATGACACTTTCTGACCTTAGACTCGTGACCAGTCCTGAGCCTCTGAAACCTATGATCATTCAAAATCAGGCGGTACCACCATCTGGGCCAAACTGAGCGTTCTTTCGTCTACAGTGAGTCGACTGCTAAATACATTTTCAAGATCATAAGTGGCTTATTTTCAAGCGTATGCCCGGACACGATTGTCATTAACTAACGCACCATAGTCAAGTAAGGTAGTCATCAACGAGTGAAGAAAGTTTGGAACGAACTACCTCATTCCGCTTCATCTGCTCGAGCATGACAGACAAGGCTTCGCAGATGATCTGATCCAAGAAGACTGTGGTTCCCTTCCGAGTGCTCAGCGCTCATGCCGAGCACCAAGCCGTAGTTGACATATTCAAGGCGGTTTGCCCTGGGGAACTCCATCAACGATAGTATCTTGAAAAAGTGCGACAAGTGCAGGTTACGGTCTTGCTGCGATGCTACGACATAGATCATCTTATCGAAGTGGTATTTCTCCCATCGCTCTATCGCACCGCCAAGGTCACGCCGGGTGAGGTATATTGAAGACATCTACGCATGGAATACATGCAGGAATCGATCGCAAAGTGAGACGGACCCTCTTAGATTTCTCAGGCTAATACCATTGTAATAATGGATGCTGACAGCATTGCACGAAATTCCAGACAGTGAAAATCGGTCCTAGCCATATCCACGGCAGACGACGTAATATAAATATACAAGACTGAGTGGCCGTCGTATGAAGCTTATATTACATGGATGGGATAACCCTGTAATCCATCGAAATCAGTCAATTAATTGAACGTCTCTCATGCACGCAGTCAATCCACACGTCAGCGCTCCAGTACTGGCCGTGAGATGGGGACAACCACTGCGCCTTGATGACACAATTCAAATCGATTGGAGAGTCACTCGACTTTGAAAAGTAGGATCGATTCAAGTTGGTACTAATTTTCCCTCTGATGCTGTTATGAAGCAACGAACTACCCAGATCGTTGTACATCCGTGGCAAGTCTCCACTCAAATTTCTCATATCGCTACAAACAATACATCAGAAGCGGTGCCCTATCATCTATGGGCTCCTATGTATGGGGAGATATTATGACGAATATAATGTGTAGGTATGAGTCATGAGCGAAGTAAGAGTCATAGAACAGAGCTCAGGCAGCAGGCTAGTGGCAAAAACAGATCAAAATTGACTCAACAGGTCAGAGACTCAGGCAAGCCCTTCCGGCACGCCACCTCCGATTCAGAACGTTGTCTCGAGGCGGCAACTTTCTTTCTTGCGTTCGGTCTGACTACACCAATCATGGGAGCCTATATATTGTCACAGTCCACTGCAGGCAGCTCTCGGCGTCAACGCTCGCAAGCATGTGTTCGACATGGTTGCAGCCGCCCAAACGACTTCTTGTGTACCACCACTGCTCTGTCCACGCACCTCAGACCCTTTCACTGGCTTTGTCTGGGATCAAATACAGTAGCCTAGTTGTAACTTCCTCATGCCACAAGCATCAGACACTGGCAGTGCTGAGGATCGGCACGCCCACAACGACTCGGCTCGGCCTTCTCCAGAGAACGGCAACGTACGACCTACAGAAAAGTGGGTTGTGGTGTCCTGGAGTCTGCCTGCTATCTGACAATGAGACGGGGAGAAAAACTGTGAGCCTTTGGCGGAGCTGCCATCGGGGATGTATGTGTTTCTGCCTTAATGCTGCTGTCTCGCTCCTCACCAGAACTGCAGCTCCAATGCTGGACCTTCACAGCCGTCGGGACCTCACGTACAGAAAAACACTCCCAATGTTGCATCGGTCGGCGATTTATCTCCGTAAGTTCTCGTCAATAATGATATCAAACATGCTCCTCAATTATCTCAGCAAGGTGGTGGCGGATAAGGACCAACCCACGCTAAACGAATTGTGAATGAAAAATAAGCTGAGCGATCACAACTGACCATATCCTATATGCAGAGCAAATGTCATGAAGCAAGTATTAGATGTTCTCCAGGACTCGACGATCGCATCGAAGAGTGGCAAGGACAATAGGTCTCGTTTCTCGGGGGTGTACAAACGAGTCGCAGAGGAGCACGACGTCGAGTTTCTCGAGCGATACACTACTGACATGGACCTTTTCTCTGCTGTCAGCACATCTCTCATTGTCACGATGGTGTCCAATCTCAGTCCCGACCCCAGTAATATCACGAATGCCCTTTTGAAGCAACTTGTTCAAATCGGACCGGGCAATCTCGCTGCAGCGGGCTCCACACTCACAGACCCAGCATCTACGTGGTTTCCGAGCGCGCCGACCTTATGGATCCAAACGATCGCATGTGCAAGCTTGTCCATGAGTTTGCTCGCCGCGTTCTGGGTCGTACTATGTAAGCAGTGTATACTCTGTGCTCATTTCACTACCCAGGCCCTGTACATATGGCCGGCACATTCGCACGACGATCTCTTCAGCAATTAATCAACCAGGTTTCAGAGGTGGCTGTCTTTTGTTGTTTCGCGCGTTTCGACAAAGGTCGTGGACTCGGAAGCACAAGAGTTCGACCTGAATTTGGATTTTTTTTGTTGGGGGATGAATACGTCCTCACCCTCCCTGACATACCCACCACCAATCTCGAAGCACCTGGCGTCAAGTGGCTGCTCGAGACCTCTACGGATCCTGAACTGTTTCTCGCCGCTGCTAGCCTTGTTCCGCAGGTCAAATGGTCCCTAGATCTTGACGTTTCAGATACTTTCACAAGCTGCGTCGGCTTCCATGGGAAATTTTTGCCGTAATTAGAGGAGAAAGCCTCAGCTACCGCTCAAAGTAGGAGTCATACTGCATGTAGGAGGGATCTGCTGCATTGTCTTCTATTAGCGAGCAAGATACAGTGAATGCGATACTCGAACAAGACAATGATGACGGGATCATCCAGTCAACTGTCAAGGATCAGAAGTAAGTATATTTCCCTTTGATTGAAGTAACCCATTCGAAATAGATCGAGTCATGATATGTGTGGTGATGCTTGTTGGGGAAATCACAGTGGCGACAAGGGTGGTGACCTTGGAATCTGATGTATAATGGTAGTAATGCGGAGGCTGGCCCGAGATAAGCAATTTTGCAGCAAGATGTTGTTCCTCGTGCAGACACTGGAGCGGATCGCCAAAAAAAAACGAATAACAGTGATGATTCAGAAGGAATGATCATTTGACTCACTGAAGTCGCGAATTCTTCTCATTGGAGAAATCACAGTGGCGCTGTGGACCAGAATGAGGTCTTGGAAATCTGATGGCATCATGTTGGTGATACGGATATGAACTGCGAACCTGACTCCTCTGTCACGCTGGCAAAAAAGAATGAGTCGGACTTTGCGATTATGCTTGTTGGGGAAATCATGGAGTAGTGCTGTGGACCAGGATGGCGGCTTCGAAATCTGATGGCATCATGTTATTTATTGATACGGATATGATCTGCGAACTTGACTCCTTTGTCACACTGAAAAAAAGAACAAATGAGAAGTTGGATAAATCATGGCGGCGGTCAACGACGAAGCGGTGCGTGGACCCGCAGTAGCAATCCCAAAACACAATTACTTCTTTGCGCGTGGAACAAAAGAAAAAAAAATCGAAGTCATAATCATGATGGGCGTTTGTGGGTGCCAGGATGGGCATGTGATCGAAAGAAGTTTATGTGTGATGGCAGTGCCAGATCAATGATACTCGGAATTCAATGTTCAAGCGGTTCAACCATGACGGTGGCTCAGAGTACATCAACATTCGAATCTCTACTGAGGTATCGATTGTTGCCTTTATTTCATTTCAGAACAATAGCATCGTTCTGGTTTAAAAGCGAACCATGAACTGCATTTTCTTGCCCCCACTTTTTATTTTCTACTGGCAGTAACTCGTTCAGTTCATTGGCATCATGGTCAATGGCAGTGCCGCTGTCAGCGAACACATTAGTACTCTAGGCATCAGGTACGTCAATCATTCTTTTTGCTCGGTCACTTATATATCTATATCGAACTTTACCATGCACGCAGGGTCAGGGATGTCCCCTTATGGATCACTTGGGATGTGGAGAATTACAAGAAATGTGAAGCCGATGGAATGCTACAGTGGCTCCTCTGTGGCTTCGATGAGCGTCCCAGCAGTGAGAAGTCGAAATTGCTTCAAGATTCTCTTACAGCTGTCCTGGACATCTGCAACAACACTCCAGAAATCACGGATAACTTGACTGAATTGTAGGTAGAGAGTTCACGTGGTATGAAAGAAGCTGAGCGTCTTTTCCCAGTGCCAATTGCGCCACAGAGCCAAGTTCGTACCCGTCCTTTGTGCGTGCGGCCAATGCCGCACTCCTCAAACTGAGGAGCTTGGAAGTCTCCGGACTACCTGCTTCCCCGCAAAACAACGATATGGACATCTTGTTCTATCATAATGACAAGGACAGGACACGAGTGCACCAAGGCGCAAAGTCTATGCGCAAGCCGGACGTTGTTCTCGTCTCTCGGAAAGCGGTGAAGGCTGCGGTGAAGGGTAGAGAGGCTAAGGGTAAGGGCCAGGCTAGTATGGGTAACGACGGCGAGGATCAAAACCAAGATATCGAAGTGTTTTACATGAACAAAGCGGCGAAGAAGCTTCACGGCAACTTCAAATGGATCGATGTTCGATCGACCGTGGAGTTCAAACGCAGCTCCACTCTGGATCCTCCAGTATTGCCTTACCAAGTGACAAAATACGCTCCCTTTAATCCAAGGCTCAAGTATCTGAACCTTTGGAATGCAACGGAAAACCTTGACCCAACAGCTGCGACTCTTGCGCCTGCCGCCGCTTCTACTCGAAGCTCGAACATGCCATCGGATGAACGTAAGCCATACAGAGTGTCTACCTACACTTCATTGCTGACCTTCGCAATTCAGCGCAGGGTACGCGTACGTCCGAGCAGCTGAAAGCAAAATCAGATAGCAAACGTAAATCTGATGAGTTGGACTTCAACGAACCTGCTTGCAAGCGCCAGAAGAAAACCGATGAGAACTCCACGGACCAGAAGGAAATCACAGAGGAGCCCGAAAAGATTCATCCAAACATCCAGAATGGTTTGTATGCTGCGGTGTTATTCACTGCCAACATCGCGCTGCAGTGCGTCATATCTTATGTAGTGAACAGTAAGTCGACTGAATATCTTAGGCCTCTTGTTGAATTGATCGCCCGTACTAGATGATATCATCTACATCTGGTATTTTAATCGAGAAAATGCCATTCAATGCGCCGGCATCAACTTTATCAAGGATCTTCCCCGGTTCCTTGTGTTACTGCTTGCTATGCAGCGCATGGGAGACGAGCAATGGGGCCATAATCCGAAATTTACCCACGTTCCTGGAGTTTCTTGCGACGTCGTCGTTGGAGATGTCAACCTCAAATTGGACCTGAAGTCTGACACACGCATGACTCACTTCGGTCTGCACGGTCACGCAACTAATGTCTTTTCTGTCCAAAGCAAGTATCTTTCGGACAAAAAGAAGAGAGATGTTTGTGGTAACGATTCTAAGGAACTGGTCGCCAAGCTCTATTGGCCAGAAGAGCGACGTCAGAGCGAGGACGAGATACTTCAAAACGTGTATAGCATTGCGAGCAAGGAATCAACAGTGAAGGGCCACATCCCGGACATGGTCTGGTTCCACAAGTTTGACGAGACGTCCACGACCAAAATCAGGAGGTCGCTAGGAATTCAAGACGCTGACGCTGAAGGGGGCAGTCGCATTTTGTATATCGTTATGTTCAGGAAGCTTATCCCAATCACGTCGCTGAGTGGAGACGAATTTCTCAGCGCATGGTGGCAAGTTGCGCTATGTATGTCTGATTTTTCCTGTACTCTTCATTGTCCCTAAGTGAGCCAACAGGTCATTACACACTCTGGAAGCACAATGTCCATCACCGCGACATCAGTCCTAACAATCTTATGGTCTACGGGCTGAACGGCCAATGGGTCGGGGTCCTCAAGGACTACGACTTATCATTGATCAAACCCGATGGGCCCAGCGGGAAGGAGTGCACAGGAACAGTTCCATTCATGGCACTCGACCTGCTCCAGAAAAAGGGCCTCGAAGGCAAAGTCATGCACAAGTACCGGCACGATGCTGAATCCCTCGTCTGGGTCCTTGTCTGGGTCTGTCTTAGGTACCAAGAAGGCAAGCTGATGAGCAATGGCAGACTGCTCGATGACTGGCTAAAAGTGGATGCTAATGGATGCAGGAAGGAAAAAGCAGTATTTATGACATTAGTGCTGCCGTGGTCCGGTTCGGTTTTTTTGCGGTCTGAACTTGAACCGAACCGAAATTTTTTCTGTAGGGACAGCAAAAAAAATTGACGAAATACTAGTCTACACATTGAGTAACTACTCTAATAACATTTGTGCGCACTCCTCTGCCTCTGTAGCTGCTGAAAGATGTCCATTACGGTAAGCGGCCTTCATGAAAATGATCAGCCGTGCGAACTCGCTCCCAGGGGACTGGATTGGGGAGCAGCCGCCGAAAACGCAAATAAAGGGCAAGTCTGTTTTACGGCGTCGGCAACAGTTGTGGTAGGGGAAGGTGCAGCAGTAGGCTTTGGGATCGTGCTCGCAGGCTTCTTGCCAAAGTCAAACTTCAGCGGTGCAGGTGTGGATGGGGCAGAAGTTGGGGCAGCGTTGCTCGGAGTGGTACTAAATATCGATGGTGGGTTAGCTTGTGTCGATGTAGATGTTGGCGTCGAGGAAGGTAGTACACTGGGTTGGTTTTGCGAAGGGGAATGGTGCTGGTTTGCCGGTTTCCGTGCTTGATGCTGCTGGTGCAGAGAAGGGATTGGTGGATGTGGAAGTAGGTGCAGCGAACAGCGGCTGTGCGGGCATGGGACCAAAAGAAAACGAAGGAGCTGCAGGTGCAGGCGTCGACGGTGCAATTGGCTTAGCGAAAAAGTCCGGTATGGAGGGTGTAGATGACGTGGTAGGTGCGGTGGTGGTGGTTATTTGTGGAGTAGACGAGGTAGGGAATAGGCTGGGTTTATTGGCAACAGGAGCTGAGGGTACCTGAAGTGTAAGGTTAGTATCAAGTCAAAAACTTCAAAACGATTTGAATGAGACAGTCGATAGGAAGATGGCTTTCGCCAGTGACAAAAAGGATGCACGCACATAATTATAGAGCCTGACTCAAATGAGATTTTTTTTTAAAAAAAATTTAATTCAGATGCACATACCTGTAATTTGTGGGTGGACGACGGCAAGATGGAGCTGAGTGATGGTTCAGTCTGGATGATTGGTGGGACGCAAATCAAAGGTGCCTTGAAAAAGAGAGATAGAAAGTCATGTGAGAAATTGATTGATTAGTACTTACCTTGAAAAGGCTGAAGGTAGCCTGATTAACCAATAGTGCAAATCCCGAAGACAGCAGTTTGATGTGGAGACCGACTTTGTCGCAGTCGCAGTCGAAGTCGAAGTCGATAATGGTTCGGAATGGTTCGGCAAGGCCGAACCAGAATGGGACCGTTCGGGAAGACCTAGAACCGAGAGCCGTTTTCCGGTCCGGTTCTGGACCGGACCGTGGCAGCACTAATTTATGTGGACATTTAGGCAAGGGAACGCTGAGGACAACAACAACGACATAAAATCCTCGCCATCACACCGGTCTAACTGGAAAATTGCGGTAGCTTGCCTTTCCACTATTTTTTATACTGCCCCGCACGACAAGGACGAAAATGAGTCCATTCTTCGGAAATGGCTCCTGAATAATGTGGAGTCTGTCGCTCCGGACATTATAGCTCGCCATCATGAACAGCTTTCGGGCCAAATGTTGGTCGATTTTCAAACTCCGACTTCACGCACGTGACGCTACTCCCTACGCCATTGTCATGACCAATTTTCCCGTACCACTATCACGTTGAAGCGCCGAAGAGGACCCTCGCAGTCACCAAGCTCATAACGCAATGAAAAATACTGCAATTACACATCAACTCGATCAAGGAAACGCTTCCCTTTCCCTAACACCTCATTTTTCCAGATATTCACCACATAAAGATCCCCTTTGCTCTTCGTCATCGCCGTCGCTGACGATCAGCCCATCTTACTACAAGCTTTCCGATCTGAGGACGAGCAACACTTATTTGTTCATGCAACTCCATGACAATTCATTCCGCCCTTACGACCTTCCAGGGTTTGACGTTGGTATGGATCGTGGAGGTTCATTAATACACTCCCTGTATCCGCCGTGCTCACACTGTTTACAAGGGTCTATGAATGAATGCAAAGAACCCGCATGCCCCATACTAGAGATGACCTCTCAGTGCACTGACAAGTGTGTCGTCGTCGCCTGTAACGATCCTACCCACCCTGAGCCCAGTTGCCACATTGCAGACGGTGACATGATCTGCGATAGCGCCTGTGTTCCTGACGAGGACTGCGGTGATTGTTCTGGTCTTGAAGAATTGGTACGCCATATTGTGTGTGTCCACGCCTTTCCTAATTGTTTCAATTTCAAGCTGCAATGCTGCACCGATTATCATTCTTATCTATCCCAGCCAAAGTCCCTTGACCCAAGTCTCACACAGTTCAACTGGAACCCACAGTCAACAAATGGTTTGTGTGGATGCGACGAGAGCGACTACAGCGAACAACATGTACCCCGATTTTCTCCAGAATACAGTACCATAGCCCGGCCTTTGGGTAACGCTTCTCCCGAATGTCTGGCGTCATCTACTAGCTCAGCGTTTTCTTCACCCCACATTTCCCAGGCAGCGACTCAGTTCACACCCGTTGGCCTGCCACAACACCTACCACAGTTCTCACCAGATATGTTTACTTGTTTGTGGGGGGACTGTAAGGCTACATTCCCATCTCTTATGGAGCTAGTCGGGCACGTCAACTTGGACCATCTCCGCCCTCCAAGTTTAACGAAGGAATCAGCCCCTCAGCAGGTATGCTCAGACGCTTCCCAGAATCAACAATTCGACACCAATACTATGTCGTGCCACTGGGGAGACTGTGTTATGTTACCCTGTACAGAATCAATTTCAAGCTCTTCGACAACCGTGTTTACAGATACTGTCCTTGACGCTCTTACTACACACTTGATGCAAGATCATTTTGGTATCAATTACCCTTTCCCACAATCGATGATGGCGCGCACGGCATTACCACCGGAAATTATTCCCCATGACGAAACATCCACAGACGTCCCTCCCTATCCTTCACCTCTGGACAAGTCTTATCCGCCAGACTCCCCCTCCCCGTTCACAGACGCCATCAAACCTTGTAAATGGAGTGGGTGCACGCAAACATTCTCTTCTCCTGATGACCTTACAAACCACATCCTCTCTGCCCACATCGGCAGCGGTAAAGCACACTACGAGTGTTGCTGGGAGGGTTGCTCTCGGAATGGGACGCAAGGATTTTCAAGTAAACAAAAAGTCGCACGGCACATGCAGTCGCACACAGGACATAGGCCATTTAAGTGTAAAATATGTAATGCACATTTCTCAGAAACAGCTACGCTGCAACAGCATATGCGGAGGCATACCCAAGAGAGTATGTACTTTTCTGTTTTCTGTCATCTCGCGTTCGACAGGCAGCTCATTGGACACTGTTAGAGCCATACGTTTGTGATTTTCCCGGGTGCGGCAAAGCGTTTGCTATCACGGGTGCATTGACGATTCACAAGCGGACGCACAATGGTTTCAAGCCGTTCAAGTGCAAGTTTTGCGAGAAGTATGGGGTTCTTCTATTTGATGTTGGAGTGCTGATGTATTGTCTTTCTTCAGGGCTTTCGCTGAGTCGTCGAATCTGTCGAAACATGTAGGCTTTTTAGTTATTGCAGATATAGTTTCTGAACCAGACCGTGTTTCTAGTTACGAACGCATACAGGTGCACGCCCTTATCCCTGTCCTGAGGGTGGGTGTGGAAAGTCTTTCGCGAGGCCGGACCAGCTTGCGAGACATATGGGTGTACATAGAAAGAAGGACCCAGGACTGGGAATGGAATGAACACCTTGGGATAAAATGTGTTTAGTCATTATGTATCTATTATGAAGATAGTCCACGAGTTTTCGCAGTGGTGTCAAGCTATTTAAGTTCACTTGAGCAATTGTCTCCAACATTCTCGGGTCCTTCAAGTTGTTTCGACCACTACTGTAACTGAAAGAGAACACTGCATGCAGATAGAAGAGAGAGTATATCGAACTCCTGTGAGTGACGAGGTTTTTGAAATTGAATGATAACCGTTTTTCAGTGTCGTTGTGCAGCCTAGTCTTTCATTATTGCTTCCAGTTGAAGTACACGGAGGCTGCGGCACTCTTATTGATGAATTCAGGATTATTGCTCGCCTGGCTGATGATCATGACATCGAGCCTGCCCCTATTTATGCATGTTCATGTCAATCAGTCAGAGTGACCAAGTACTGGCAAATTATCTCGTGCTTCAAATTTGGTTAGCAATTTTCTCGCTACGCACGGCTATCTCTGGCCCGATGGTGACCGCATCAGTCACATGTTTGGAGAATCAATACTGTGAATGCCTAAAATACCATCACTGAGCTAGGGCCTCCACCACAACTTTCACGCCCCATGCCCCAGGATCGGCAACTCGCTCAGCCTTTAGCTTTGTGCTATCAATATATGCGCTCCTACCGGCCTTTGCCTCCATGTCTTTCGTCCCTTCAGCAGCTTCTCTAGCAGCCTTCACGGCTGCCGCAAGGCCGGACGACAGTGCACCGATGAAGGCAGTGAGAGGGTCGACTAGTGTACGAGAAGGGGGACGTGCCCGAGTGTAAGTATATAAACGACCTAGAGCAGCTTCTAACGCCGTGCACCATACTTCTTGTGTGGCGATCGAGGAGGAGCTTTTAGCGAGCGCTTGAGCGAGGGCAGAGAAGAAGATTCTGATACATGATGATTATGACATATGAATCTGACCAAAAGGAACTTCACTAACGAATAGAGGGCTCCGCTAGTTCCTCCCATCGCATCCTCTGCGATACGAGATATTGTGATGACGCTGCCAAGTACATCGTTGCCAGAGATGCTGTTTTTGCTCAGAGCCTCAACGCACAGCTGTATGTATATAATGAGTATGCATGCATATAAATATCATAATGTGAAGTACCTGTAGCACCATCTTTGAGCGTAAGTCCGCAGTCCCCATCACCAGCGATGTTGTCCATGCGAGTAATCTCGGGCTCAGCAATAATGAGGGCCCGGCATGCACGCTCTATAGCACTGTTGAATTGATCGACATCGGGGGGCTTTGAGTGAGGCTGACCAGGCCTTCGCGTGGGTTGCAGTCGGGAGGGACGAAAAGACAGATGGTGGCTTGGGACAGACCTAGAAGACCATTTCCATCCTGGGGTGTTGATACTGTCGTCGAGTAAGGAAAGGAATGAAATCAGCGGTTGGAGTTCCCCGTGTCGTTTTCGGCGGGGAGAAGGAGGCATCGTAATTGAAAATCCGGGCATGTTGAGACTTGTCTAGCAAGGATTATCATTGATTCTAGTAAAGCTGAAGGGGTTTCGACTAACCATGAAAGAGCCAGAAAGCAGGCGCATGATTCTTAATCCCAGATTTATCCAGAGCACGCCTCACTTCGGCGACTACTCCGCCGAGTTCAAGTTCACTGAGACCGCCGAGGTTATTGACGAGAAGAACAACACGGTCTGTGCCGTCATTCTTGAAGGGAACGAAAGACCGTTCTTGTCTGTTGTGGAAGTAATCATGTCGAGGAGAGTGGGGATGAGTTCATTGAGAGGTGGAACAGGAAGAAATGCGACGGTGACCACTTTCGTTGTGAATTCCGAGACCGATTTCGAGTTCATATCGCACCCAAATATGTATCGGAATAGCGGTTCCAGGGACCTGCACGAAGCGAGGAAGTATCGTGAATACAGAGATGTCCTCAAACACTCGAACGTTGACTCGTACATGACAGTGGTCCAGACCAACCCCTATAGTACCGAGCCTAGAGGAAACGTACTGGGCGATATCGTAGACCTCATCTACAGAGGCACCAGTTTGGGCCAAGGCGCCTGCAATTTTGTAGACGAGACAACACCTGCAAGACCACTGTAGGATGTTCAAGTGATGTAGTGGAATTTGCGATAGATGTCCATACCGTCTTCCGACAATACTACCTTGGGTTTTTTCCTACAGCAACGTCATCTCCTACGATGACGAACTTGACACGGTCAGCTTTGTCGGGATAACGGGCCGCATATTCTTCTTTGGCTAGACCAAAATTGAGGACATCGCCGGTGTAATTCCTGCATACAAGATCAGTTAGCAAATCTGATACTACAACAGTCGTCGCGATGAGCCGTACTTGACTACGATGATAGTGCTAAATGCAGTCATTGTTAGCAAATAAAGTTACAGCTGCAACAATGGAATCACCCTCTTTTGTTGTCGATCAGATCTACTGCACGGCGAACTTGACCAGCACTTGGAGAGGCAAAGATATGTCCACACACAGCAGCTTCGTGAATGTCGGTTAGGTCACGACCGCATAAAGAGTATTCTGCTAACCGGTCAAACGCCCTGGCCTGCATCCAGGTCAGCGTGATCTGGAATGTGATGCGAGGGCTCATTTACCTACGAAACCTGAGTGGGATGGCTCATGACCAGAACCACCTCCACAGAGGAGAGCAACTTTGGAGCGGTCCTGATCAGCAAGGTAGACGACTATATATCTTTTTGTTTAGTATCCTGATCGTCGGTCTGCAATGTTACCTCTATGGATCGGATCAAGAGCTAGTTGTGTATTGATTGCGCACAGTCCTTCTAAGGAATCGAGCACGAGAGAGGGTGCTGTGTTCAGGAAATGCTTGCCTGTGTTCAAAGTTGGTCGAGCAGTCAGTACGATGGCATGATGAGATTGACAAAGCTTTACTTTGTACGACCATGATGGCTGCGAGTGGGAAGAAAGGAGTTTACATGAACAGTACACTATCTCATAATGCAATGACATCACGGGCTCCCACCCACCACGTCTTTTTATTATAAATTTTTATTGCTTAAACTTAGTCTAATGGAAGTTTTTCCTGATGGAGATGAACGTCTGAATATGCATGGGTCATTTTTTTTACGATTCAGACTAGTCAAATGTGATACCAACAAATTAGTGGCCGTCGACCATTTTGGGATCACTGAGGGCTACAAAGTCCGAGTCATGCCTGGCCACCTCATGTATTACCATACTACTTATGACATACCAGCTAGAGAAAATTTTACTTGCAGAGCATCGAAGATTCAGATATATGACTCGAGGCTATATGGCAACTTGCGAAGTCCCCTAATTAGTTGATCATGAAAGACAAAGAGTATGTAATACTAGTCGATCCGTGGGGAAAAAAGAGTTACATACGCGTTCTTGTTGGTCGAGGAGGTTTCTCATTTAAATGTCATGATGAGTTTGCCCACCTGCAGCATCACCTTCCTTAAAGCCATCAGAATTGATTTCCGCAAGTCGAAAGAGACAGCGGTCTCACTCTATGCAATCAGATTCTTCATCTTCTATAAAGCGCTCTGCTTCAGAAGGCCCTTCATCAACTACACCTGTCCCTATCATGACAGATCCTATATCTTCCGTCGATTCTGCGAGAGAGCAAGAGATTGAAATTGACACTTATATGGAAGAACAGGGTGAAGATATTACAATTCAACTAGGTTCTCTCACCATCGAGCAGAAAGTGGCACGTATCAAATCCTGCGTGACAAGCCTATGGTCGCAGGCGACACTTGGTAATCATATCTCGTCAATGGTTCAGACAATGGGAGATCGCTTGCGGAATCTTATCAGACAAGTCACTCGAGCCATTGCAGGAGAA